TAAGTGAATGGATGAGCAAAAAAATTTTGTATTTACATACAGTGAAATGTTGTAGATGCTGTGAAGCTGACTTCACAGAAACCCTGTGACCCACAAAGCTAAACATGGCTTGATCCTATACCATCCTCACAAGTGCTGCTGTGCTCAAGCTCATGTTGCAGTTACTGTGTCAGCCATCTAGTTGAGGGGCCTTCTGCTTTCCATTGATCCTCAACTTTACTAGACATATGTCTTCCTCAAGGGACCATCTGCTTCTGATTACATGCCCACAGGAGGTGAGAGACCAAAACCTTGCTATCCTTGATTCCAAGGAGCATTCGGTATGTCCCCCTTAGATTTGTTTGTTCTTCTGTTAGTCCATGGTGTATTCAGTATTCTTCATCAGCATCACAGTTTGAAGATACTAATTCTTCTATGGTGTTTGTTTTTCATGTCCATCTTTTACATGTGTATTAATATATTGAAAATAGTTATTTCAGTGCATGTATTTTGAATAAGTGAATTAAAAAATGAACGAAACTGAAAACTTCATTTCCTCAAGGGATTCTGATGTCACTTTATGATTAGTTCAAACTTATCTTAGCTACAGAATTCATGTATTTAAGTCCCTTACCTGTTATGTCTTCCCATGGGATCAGCATGAGAGTTGCTCCTCAAGTACTTTGGGAGCAGGAAGAATCATCTTGAACTTTTTGTCCGTAAACTTAACTAGACGGTGAACCTGTTGGTGTGGGATCATATATGTCTTCTAGTGTTTTTACATTATGCTTTTAGCAAGTAAATTTTTTAGTGATGTGTGTGGTTGTATTTATGTGTTGTTGATTCCGAACCAACCCATAGCTTACCCTCCAGTGGGTTATCCGAAGCAGTAAATCTCACAGGAGGAGATTGCCTTCCTTTTCCTGTGGACCAGTGATGGATGCAAACCATGTGCCTTTGGGATTGCAGTACAGCTTCTTACCACAAGTCCACCAGAATACCCTCAATACTGTCTGTAGCTTGTTCTTAAAGAATGTGTGCAATGGCTAAATTAGAAAGGAAGGCCCTCTGAAATCAAGTTTCCCCATAATGATTTCTCTTCTTTTTAATAATGGTATCATATTGACTGTTTTAATATGCCTGCTTAAATATGTAGGCATATGAAAGGATGCTCTGGTGGTCTGGTGGTAAAAAGCTATCCAAAGACTTGACTCCTTCAGCTGCCCCACAGGCAGTCTAGTCCTGTGTGATTTGCTGCCCCTGAAAACCCACTGGAGGATCAGCTATGAGTTGGTTCCCATTCGATGGCACACAACAACAACAACAACAACAACAAACCCTTCAATTTTGCCTGCCGTATGGTACTATTATTAACACATTGCCGCAAATGACAGTACTACATCGAAAAAAATGTGTTTCTAAGCACGGTCATCAATTAAAAGTGTGCAGCAACGTATTAAAACTAAAACCCCACCCCAAACCAACCCTTTTTAAAATTTTTCTATTTTTAGAATGATAGTCCAGAATTAAAAGTTCACACTCAAAATAATACTGTATATTATGAATAGCAAATTTCTTCATAGATATTTTCTTTCTTTAGACAGAAAAGAGTCTTCTTGGACCGGGAAATATGTCCTCCTGGATCTGAGTTGGAATTTACCTTAATACTTAGATTAAGTAGCCAATGACTGAGGCTAATATTTATGGTTTATTATTAGATTAATGCAGCCCATTTTTTCAGTTTCTAATTTAAGATTGAATTCCATGCTAGAGTGTATTAGAGATAGAGTTTATTTTGTTGTTCCACTGGAAACTTTTAATCAGCTTAATGTTGTCCTGGATGAGGTAAAAGCTTAATCTTTTCTTCTTTAGCACTTTCATACATTGGCATACTCAAAGTGAAAGAAAAGGAGCAGCCATGTAGCACTTCTGATTCTTGGACCCTTTTCATTAAATCCCCTTTGGTAATTCTCTAGCAGTCTTTTTGGGGCTATTGAAGTATATTAGCCACAAAATAAATACAAATTAGACTCACATTATTTCAGTGAAGCTGTGGAATCATCCATAACCTTACATGATATGTCTTCTATTTTATTTTTTTGTCTTCTATTTTATTTTATAATTTTCTAGAAAGTAGGTCAATACAGAAGTCCATTTAGCTTCCTTTAAAAGGTAGATAGAGTAGCATTAATATGAAGTATTTAATTCAAAAGTAAGATACATTTAATCTTAACTTGTAATTTCATCTTTGAAAGATTCTGTATAACAAAAAAGAGGCATAGGCCTTGGAACATTAGAATATGTAGAGGAAAAATTTGCCCAGACATAAAGTCTCTGACCTACTACCCAACCATTGGTCATCATCCTCTGGTGGCCTGTGTGTTGCTATGATGCTGGAAGCTATGCAGCACTTCCAGACTAAGAAAGACTAGGAAAAATGGTCTGGTAATTCACTTCCAAAAATAAACCAAAAAAACCCCCCCCTATATATCACAACAGTTTCTTGGCCACTATAGTACTTTATAAGATAAGCCTCTTAAATTGGGGAAAAAAACCCTGCAAATACACTGCCCACCATGGTGACTTGAGCAGATCACTAATTGTGAAAATGGCGCAGGCCCAGGCCACATTTTGTTCTGTTATACTTAAAGCTTCCGGTTGGTACCAGTGTCACTACAGCTAGTAAAAGTGTGATGTCTGACAGATGCTGTGTATACGAATATTGTTCTATAGGACTTTAATAGGTTTTTGTTGTTGTTGTTATGTGCTGTCGAGTTGCCTGCAACTCATAGTGACCCTATGTACAACGGCCCTAAACTCTGTTCTGTCCTGTGCCAATCTCATTGTCTCCAACACGCTCATCCCGATTACCCCAGTCACTGAATCAGTCCATCTCCTAGACGGCCTTCCCCTCCTGCACCTGCCTTCTGCCCTCCCAAGCTTGATGTCCTTCTCCAAGGACCAGTCTCTGCTTACAACATGACCAAAGTATGTCAGACGAAGCTTCAGAATCCTTGCCTCCAAGGAGCATCCCGGTTTAACCCTCTCTAGGGTGAATCTGTTTATTGTGTGCTGAAGTAAAGTTAGGAAATACAGAGTTAAAATTATGTTTCCTGTAGGACTACTCAGAACTTTTCATAATTCCTGCCCCTGCCCCCCATTTCTAAGAGAAGATGAATATAGAGTGCAGTGCTTTCCAAACTTATTCTGGAGCACCTGCTAACACTCTCAGGAGACTATTCTGATTTTAGTCTGTGTTCAGAATTTATACTTTTAAAAGTAGATAACATTTTTTTAAAAAAATCAGTTTTGTAATGGTGCAACATAATACACATATAGACTTCCAATTCTGTACCTTCACAATATTTTTCCAATGTGTAGTATCAATGTTTTAATTCCTAATAATGGAGAAACTTGAAGCACTGGCCTCCTGTAGCCAATGGGAATGACACAGTGGCTACGACCAGAAACAAGTGCTGCTATCTTTTAAGAAAAGCAGACTACTCCTCGGTGGGCTTTTTTGATCACTTTTCTGACAGAAAAATATATAGAAGAAAGTCATTTGTTTCTTCCTAGTTTGGAGAATTTTCCTTGTGGATGGCATTTTAAAAATGAAATACTAGGCTATGTATACCTACCATGCCATCTGAAAATATGTTTTCTCGCCCGCTCTTTCAAATAGCAGATATTTAACATTAAAAGGAAAACAAGCCAAGATTCCTACTTTCATGTATATTTAATATGTGTGAGCACTGCTAATAAACTTTCTATTAAAACTATGCATTGTAAATCATTCTATATTCTTGGAAATATCTTTTGGTGTCTAAAAATATAACTGACAATGCAAGAATAGAGGAACACTATGAAAGATTGCTAATTACTTAAGATGCAACTAGTTTTAACATATCTTGCTTTAATATTATATTAACAATAACATGAAATACTAGACCCACTCATTAAAAGTAGGAAATATCTTCCACAATTTTCTCTTAAGTCCTTGCCAGTAAAATAAAGCATGAAACAAAAGTAAAAAGAAATAATTATTAAATGGAGATAGAGTTTTAATTATTTGCTAACAATACTATATAAATTGTACACCTCAAAGAAAATAAAAATAATATTTTTAATAACTTTATTATGAGAGGCATCCAAACAGCATAGTTCTTGCATATCCATAGTTTGATGTGTATATGTTATTGTTTTTTTTTTTACTTGGGAACTCTGGAAGCTTCATGGGTAGGAGTAGGGCCTGCCAACCCAAAGTTTTGCAGTTCATGTTAACCAGCTACTCCCAGGGAGGAAGATTGACAGTTTCTTCCCAAGGATTTTATAGCCTCAGAAAACTGACTGATCAGCATGTAACAACAACATTTATTAACTGATTGGCTAGATAGTAAATAAGAAGGTTACAATTGAATTATCAGGATAGAGAGTCAGGAAAGAATGATGCCATAAAAATTTAGAAAGAATGAAATTGTAAAGAAACCTTGACAATTGTGTTAAGTACTGCAGTGAATCCTATGGATATTATTGATGGTTTATAGGCCATTGGGTTCCTTCGGTAGAGCCATGTTAGTCAAATAAAGAAAGGAGAAACCAAATTGTGAAGGTTGAAGGATGTAATCAAAGAGCCAAGGCATTTATTTGAGTTTGATAGTAATTAGAGTTGAAAATGCAAGGGAAGAATACTTTGTTATTTATTTCCAGAATTTTCTTTATCCTCCCACTTGAGACTGAAAACTGTTTGAAGATAGGATCTTTATTTCTGAACCCTGTCATGCATATATTTATTTAGCTTTAAATATAAAATCTGTGAATGGAAAGTTTTCAGATTACTGAAAGAGTAAAAATACAAATTAATTGGGTTAAGTTCTTACTAAAATAGATAAATCTAGCTTTTGATACACTATAATAGGTTAGCTATTGTTAAGAGGAGCAGTTGTGGTATTACTCTTCTTGGTGCCTGTTCTTGCACCATTCTCATCACTTTTATTCATGAATCTCATTTTGGGCTTTGTTACAGCTATGAAAACGACCAAGTCAAGCATGTTTCTCCCGTTCTGTGGAATGTGATGAGGAACATTTGGCTTCAGAGTACTCGGAACCTGAATTGCCGAGGCCTTGGAGCCCAGCCCTGACCACCAGTAAGCCCACAACACAATGAACAAATTGAACTTTCATAACAACAGAGTCATGCAAGACCGCCGGAGTGTGTGCATCTTTCTTCCCAATGATGAATCTATTAACATCATCATAAACGTGAGTAGATCCAACTTTGTTCTATTTATAAGTTGCCATCAGATAGATTCTGCCTTTTGGTAACCCTATGTTTGCGGACGAGAACTGCTCTGTATGGTTGATTCCTATCCTCTTTCAAAAACAGATTGTCAGGCCTTTCTTCTGAGGCACTCTAGGTGGGTGGGTTTGAACCCATCTTTTTGTGTCAGACACTTAAAACCATATTCCAGTTAAGACTTTGTATTAAGAGTGAAATCGATGCAGAATGAGACCTAGAATTAATAATCTGCTCATATTTTAAAGAATTCTATTAGATAAAACAGAAAACAGCAATTTTAGAAGTTAAGAAGTTTAGGGAGCAGTGAGTTTATGCCAATAAGGAAAGAACAATTTGGAAAAGGAAGGTGAGAATGAACAGACAACTTGAAAAATGTATTCAGTGTCACTAGATTGTACATATAGAAACTTTTTAATTAGTGTGTGCTTTGCTGTATATTTGCAAAAGAAAATGGAAGAAGTTATGTATTTTTTGAAAAAAAAAAAATCCAGAACTCTATGCTAGCTCCTACTCAGTAGCCTTCACACAAGAGGTAATAATCATTCTCACCTTTATCATCACAGAGGCCACCACAGTGGCTACCACATCAACAGACTAGAGTATTCCAGCAACTGCAAAGACGGTACAGGACCGGCAACAAAAACAAAAAAAGTATTTAGCACACATAGGTAAAACTTGGAATCATGGTATAGAGCAACTGCCTTCAACATTCCCTTCCCTGGCATAAAATGAGAAGACTCTGGCTCCTCTCTTATACAACAACAAACACATTGCTGTTTATTTAACTTTCTTGTTGAAATACAGTTTTCTTTGAAGTATGGCATGAATTTAGACCTACTTTTGAGTTCCTTTCCACATGTATGAAATGATAGTAATTGCCTCTTTGTGTATGTGTGTATGTGTGTAGGTGTGTGTGTCTTGATTATAATGTAATAGTTGCTTAAGTCTAGCCAGTTTCAATAATATGATGCACAGACTATGTTTTTGAACATTAAGCTGTTGCTTATGGGTCATGAACCAGTGTCAACTCTCTTACTTAACTTTAACATTGAAGAATATCCTACTACATATTTTAACTCTTGAAAAAAGAAGTATGCTGAACTGTGAGTTTTTACAAATGTGTACACTTAGCAGCCTCCATCTAGCTCTACATAGAGGATGTTTTCAGCATCCAAAAAAGATTTATATTTCTCCTAGTTAGTGGCCTTCATGTAAAAAAAATTATTATCATACTGACCTCCATCACCATAGAATAGGGAAATACTAAAAATGTTGCAGAATGCATCAAAAGAAGATGGAAGAATGCACACAGGTAGAGAACCCAAAAAAATTGGTCAACCCTGAACCATTGTTAGAAGTAGCATATGATTGAGAACCAGTGATAATTAAGGAAAACGTTCAAGCTACATTGAAGATATTGACAAAAAATAAGACCCTAGGGACTATGGAATTTCATTTGAGATATTTTGGCAAAACAGATACATGCTTACTAGACTACATCAAGAAATTGGGAAAACAGCTACTTGAGCGACTGACTGAAAGAGATCCCTATTTGTACCTATTTTTTAAAAAAGGTGATCCAATGGAGTGGGGAAAGAAACAATATCATTAATATCATATGCAAGTAAAATTTTCCTGAATATTATTTTTAAATTAATGGAATACTACATCAGCAGAGAACTGCCAGAAAATTCTAGATGGATTCAGAGGAGGCCAGTACAAGGGATGTCATTGCTGATGTCAGAAGGATCGTGGTTGAAAGAAAAATAGCAGAAAGGTGATTACTCGTATTTTATTGACTATGCAAAGATATCTGATGATAACAAACAATGAATACAGTTGAAAGACTAAGACTACCACTACACTTAATTGTGCTTGTGAGAAACCTATATATAGATCAAGAAGCAATTGTCTGAACAGAACAAGTGAATACTCCACGATTTAAAATCAGGAAAGGTGTGTCAATTGTATTCTTTCTCCATAACTATTCAATCTATATACTGAGCAAATAATTTGAGAAGCTGGACTATATGAAGAAGATTGTGGCATCAGGATTAGAGGAAGACTGATCAACAATATGCATTAAACAGAAGACACAGCCTTGTCTGCAGAAAGTGAAGAGGACTGAAGCATTTACTGAAAAATAAGCTTTGATAGATAGACAGACAGATGGACAGTTCAGTGGATGGGTGAATGGATGAATATGGATAAGAAGGAGGGAGGGAGGAGATTACATCTTGACATCAAGAAAGTAAAAATCATCACTACTAGACCAATAGTCAACATAATAACAGATGGAGGAAAAAATTGAAATTGTCATGAAATTGTCATCAAAAATAAAAATTGTCAATGATTTAATTTTACTTGGACCCATAATGACACCAATAGTAACAGCAGTCATGAAATCAGAAGAGATGTTGTTTTGTGGAAATTTGTTGTCAGGAACCTCTTAAAAATACTAAAGGGCAAGATTATAGACTAAGGTGTGCCTGATCTATTTTATTGGCTTCCTATTCATATTAAAGTTAAACCGTGTATAAGGAAGGCCAAAGGAGAGTTGATGCCTTTGAACTGGGATTTTGGCAAGTATTGAATATTCCAGCACCACAGCACTAATGCTGGAGAAGAGTATTGAGTGTACAATGGACTGCCAAGAAAACAAACAGATCCATCCTAGAGAGGGTTAAACAGGGCTGCTCCTTGGAGGCAAGGATTCTGAGGCTTCGTCTGACGTACTTTGGACACACTGTAAGGAGAGACCAGTCCTTGGAGAGTAACATCATGGGAGGGTGGAGGGACAGCACAGGAGAGGAAGACCCTCTATGAGGTGGATTGATTCAGTGACTGGGGTAATCGGGGTGGGTGTGTTAGAGAGAGTGTGATTGGCACAGGACAGAGCAGGTTTTAGGGCTATTGTACACAGGGTCACTACACGTCGCAAGCAACTTGACAGGACATAATGACAACATTGAGTATTCCATAAACTGCCAGAAGAACAAATTAATCTGTCTTGGATGATGTGTAATCAGGGTTCTCCTTAGGATGATGAAACTTCATCTCACGTATTTTGGGCTTGTTGTCGGGAAGGGACCAGTCCTTGGAAAAAAGGCAACATGTTGGAAAACATAGATTTGCAAAAGAGTGGAAGACCTTCAATGAGATGAATTGATACAGTCACTATAACAATGGACCAGAGCCTGGTTGAAGATGAAGAAGGTGGTACTTCATAGGGCAGGATTCTCATTTGTTGTTCATTGGGTCACTGTGAGGAGTAGACATCTTGGTGGCACCTAACTAACTTAGGTATTTAAATTAGTTGCTCTGTTAAGAATATTAAATGCTATACTGAGTACCTGCAGCATTTACATATCTTCATGAAAAATCCAGGTAACAAAAGCCAGTGCTTAATAACATAATTGTTTTGTTCCATGATCCCTAGAGTTTCTTTATTTACTAATAGAACCTCATGTTTACTCCTAGGGATTATCTGAGTATTAAACCTGCCTGTTGGATGAATGTTTTCACTTGAGCAGACTTTCTAATGATAGACTGTATTCTTGCCCAGAATACCTGAAAACATTTTACAGAACATATTTATGTGGTAGAATGGTATAACTTTTTGGAAATTGGTGTTCATTCAGTCATTCACATATGTAGGCTTATATATTTATTATGTGAATTTATTATTATTATTATTATTATTATTATTATTACATCATTCTTAAAAAAAACAAATTAGAAGGATGGGAAATCATCTGTGCAGTTTACTGCCTCTGAAAACCTGATGGAGGGTCAGCTATTAAGCGGCCCACACCACTACCACCACAACCTTTTTACATAAGGCATTCATTTAGTGCTTTGATTAGACTGATTTCTCCAAGAATGTTGTCTGCATGCACACTTACAACAGCAATATCAAACAGATGAAAATAGTTGCTGTAGCATCAGTTTCTACTTAGTGGGCCCATCAGTCTCTGAGTAGATCTGTACTACATTGGGTTTTTAATGGCTGATTTTTCAACAGTAGTTTCCTAGGCTTTTCTTTAGAGACATCTGAGGGTAGATTGAACTGTCAGCCAAAAGTTAACTGAATGTTTTACATTTAAAGGAGCTTTGTTGTTGTTATTTTGTCTCTGAGTCAGAACTAACTCATAACTGACCCTCCACTGGCTTTTCAGAGGCAATAAATTGCAGAGGAGATTGTCCACCTTTATCGCACAGAGCAGCTGGTGGATTTGAACTGTGTGCCTTGGGGTTAGCAGCACAAATCCTTACCTACTAGGTCACCAAGGACTAGGTAAAGCAAATTATAATCTTATACTGGCATTTTTTTTCTATTAGGTAATAAAAAAATGTCTGCTCGGGAGAATTCTATTTTTCTGAACTTAAAGGATAACAGCAGTTGTTTTAAATGGGCTGTGGCTGATGTGTCAACTCATAGGGCCACTCACTTAATGTTGTGTAGTCAGAACTGACTTATTAGCTGACCCTCAGCAGGTTTTCAGAGCCTAGAAATCACACAGGAGATTTTCTTCTTCCTCAGAGCAACTGAAGTATTTTAACCTCTTGACTTTGAGTTGACAGTGCAACTCCTTACCCTCTAGGGGCAAAAGCTTCCTATGGGGTCACTGGGACCTATTTAATGCATTCTTCCAGGTAGAGTTAATTTAGTGGTATGAAATGCACCCCAGAACTTTGGTAATTCTGAATTTTCTATTAGTTGCAATAATAGATACTAACTTTTTTTATTATCAGATAAATATGGAAACTTGGAAAATTTGGGTAATGGCATCTTTTGAGGTGGTATAAATTGAGGCTGAGATCTTATATTTCCTTACTTGGGCTAGTAGGGTCATTGTGAGTCAGAGGCTAAAGCCCATGACAACTAACTACAAAGCTAGTATGGGGGTTTTCTTTGTCTGGAGAATAAACATTCTTGCTTAATATCAAAGCACTAACATTTAGACTCAAATTTTCTTATTTAAAATTTCAATAAACAGCATAGTTCTATAGCTTGTTTTAACTTCTTAATACCACATACTGTATAACACTTTTTAAAAGTTCTTATTTCTCCCTGAAGATTAAAGAACTAAAAAATTTCACGGTCAGCTAAAATGTAACCTAACTTAAAGACTCATAATAGTCAAATATTGAAAACTCAAGCTTGTTTTCACAGTAGGTATGACTACAAAGTTACAGCCTTTTTTAATTATAGTTTTTTAAACAAGAGCACAGTGCTTGACTATTGTTAAATAACTTTATCAATAGGCTCAAAAGCTCAATTTAATTGCATGGAATTTGTAGAGGAAATAATGTACAACATTGTTAAATTTGAAATTTTTCTCATAAGTTTTTATTACATTTCATGCTTGCTACTTTGTGTCCTACACATTCTAAATGCAAACTAAGGATAAATTGTGCAATGAGGACTTGCACTGCCAACACATAGGTGCACAGTTCGAATCCACCAGCTGGGTTTTGGGGAGAAGATAAGACAGTCTCCTCCCATTTACTGTGCAAACTACTGCCTCTGAAAATCCACTGCAGGGTCAGCTATTAGTTCTGACTCGATGGTACAGAACAACAACTAGATGTTAAGAAATTTTAAGTCCTAAATGTATAGAATATAGCTGTACTTGGGCATTTTATATGACAGTGTTTTCTCCATTTTTATCTTCTTTAAGTTTTTTATAAAGTAGAGTTATAGTCATACAGTATACAAACCCCAAGGTCTTTTTTAAAACAAATATTGGAAGTGATATAGAAAGTTAATAACAAGGAAATGACCTCAGATGACCTAAGTCACTCTCTTGCTCACTGCAGTTGAATTGGTTCTGACTCACAGCAACCCTCCGTTGGATTTCTCAGGCTATAAATCTTAATGAGAGGAGACAGCCCATCTTTCTCCCATAGAGCCACCAGTGCATTAAAAACTGTAAGGCATATAGTGCAATTCACTGTGGTCCCTCCACAACCCTATACCTGAGTTCCCTCCAGTAGCCATATACACACACAAATACTCATGATTTGCTATTGTCAGATGTGTCCTCCAGTGCTTTTGGTTGTCCAACATTGATGTATTTCTCCAACATTTCTGGTTGACGTGTTTATAAAATGGTTTACTGTATAGGTCAAGGTGTAGTTTGTAGTCATGAGACAGAGGACAATTGGAAGTCTACAGGGGACTCAGACTCTTGGTTGTCACTCATCAAACATTGACTGAGTGTGCCTTTTATGTATCCAGAACAAAAAGAAAGCACTGTTTTGACCTCACTGAGTTACTGAATTGGTTGTTACTCAGACCTTCAGTATCTTTTATTCATTCTAGGGGATAAGGTGCTTCAGTTGGTTGCCATTTAATAATGAATGTGGAAAACCACAGTAAACCTCTTTCACTTACTGCAGTTGGGGTTGCCAACAGCTCTGAAATGCTTCTTTGTAATTATCAAGGAACTCTGGCATATTTTTATTTTCCAAATCTGAGTTTTTATAGTAAAGTGTCATAAAACATTATTAATCTAGAGTTAACTGACAACATAAAATTTTTTAAAAAGGAAATTGGTATCATTTTCATTTCAGAAAGAATCCGTAAAATAATAGTATAAATGAGAAGAGAGAAAGCAGCATGCTATTTTAGATTCCTAGTCTTTACTTATAAACTGTCTCATTATTTGACAGATCTTATTTGCAGTAGTAAAATAATCTACTTTCTGATTATTTTACACATTTTTGTTGTTGTGTAATGTTGACTCATAACTGACCCTGAACCACATACCCTTGAGTTGGGAATGCAGTTCCTTACCATTAAGCCACGAGAGCTCTGTCTGTTTGCAGTAATGAAGACTAAAATGCAGGGTGAAAACAGTACTGGTTGTGGTTGTTCAGGTGTGTGACAACTTAGCTGGGCTTTGATCCTCAGGTGATTTAACAGTTACACAATGATGTTATTTGAAAAGCTATTTAAAGATCAAATTTGACAGATATTTAATGATGCAGTGATATTCTATTTTGTGGTCTGATGTGGTTATCCTCTGTTTTCACAGAACATTGATTTTTTACATAACAACTTGGTCTTTCAAACCTACTCATGTTGCTGTGTGAGGAGTGAGTGTAGTAAAGGTGATAAATTATCATGTTACATATGGTTTAATAGATATATGCATTTCTTTTAAAGCGTAAATTAGTAGAACTATAAATTTATACCATTTTCATATTAGCTACATGACTTCATACATTCTGAGTTCTATTGTTCTGTTTTAATAATATTAAGTTATTGATCTGAGTAGTCCCTTAAAATCAGTCCTGATTCTAATAAACAAATTTTAATTCAACAACAAAACAATAATTCTAATAAGCTTTGCCAATTCCAAATCACTGTATTACTGAACAGGACTGCTACCAAAAAAGAACTTATTTTATTAAATACTTGAGAAAATGTTAAGTCTGTAGCTTTTACAAACTATTATTTAAAGTGTGACTTATGGAATAACTTACTCCCAGATTTAGAAATTATTTAATTTTATTATATTTGAATTATGATAGGACTCAGAAGAGGAGTATGGTTTAAGTATTAAAAGGATACTAGACAAAGTAATTTGTTACAAAAATAAGAGGTAGAAATCAATTTATTGTGCAGTATATATTTTGCTTAGAGCATCAAGAGGAAAAATTTTCTTGAAAATAATTGCCAGAGTAATACTTTTATTAATCTGAACATTAGATATTCCCACATAAATGCTGAAAAATTAATTTCTTATACACCGTGGTTTTAGAGTAAGTCTTCATCCATGTTTCATAAAATTTATGAATCTTTTGCAAAATTGCATTGGCAGTTTATTACTGTATTTAAAAAAGTATATTATAATAATCATTATTAAAATCATTTCCATAATGATAGATAGTTGTTTTCCTAGTGTCCACTAGTCCTTTCCAGATACATACTTCCATGCAGTAAGCTACCTGATTGTGGCTTACTGTGATAACATTATTGAATTGCTATTTCAAATTGTGCTGTTTTTACTCCCAACCCCACAGGTGAAAATTTTGTGTCACCAGTTGCTGGTCCAGGTGTGTGACCTTCTCAGGCTAAAAGACTATCACCCCTTTGGACTTAGTGTCATACAAAGTAAGTCTTGATTGAGTCCCTTCACTAATGGTTTTAGTCACTCTCTGAAGAAATGACATTTTATAGCTATAACTTGAATCATGTATATTGTTGTTGTTGTGATGTACTGCTGAGTCAGAATTGAGCTATAGGCTGACCTTCTGACAGCTTTTCAGAGGCAATCTTTCTCTCAGAGAAACTGGTGTATTTAAACCGCATGCCTTTACTCGGGAGCACAACTCCTTACCACTAAGCCACCAGAGCTCCCTTAAATGACGCATACTACTGTAAAATTGTGCTTATCAACATGTATATGAAGTGAGCATAATTTTACTCTGACCTTCATTTAACACACACACACACAAACACACACAATCAAACCCAGTGCCCTACAGTCTCTTCCAACTCATAGGAACTCTCTATCTGATTTCCAAGGCTGCCAGCCTTTATGAGAAGAGACTGCCTGTTTTCCACCTGCAGACCAGCTGGTAGATTTGAACTGCCAGCCTGTGGATTAGTATCCTAGTCTGCTGAGCATTATCTGTGCATTATGTCACCAGGACTGAAAGGAATTCTGGTGGTGTATTGCATTATGTGCTGTGCTGTCAACCCAAAGGCTAGGTAGTTTGATTCCACCGTTTCCCTGTGGGATGAGGATGAGCAGTATCCTCTCATAAAGACTGTGTAACAGTCTCCTTTCATGAAGATTTATAGCCTCAGAAACCATGGAAGTCACTGTATGTAACAAAACACAGCATGTAACAAAACAACTACCATCCTGAGAGTTGCTATAAGTTGAAATTGACTCAAGAGCAATGGGTTTGATTTTCATCCGTGGATCCCATGAAATTAATTCCAAGTGTAGTGCAAATATTTTGCCACACTGTTTCAATGAATACAGAATAGGAATGCTCTAAAAAAATTATCTGTTCTTCATAAAGCATTGTTCAAAGTCCCACTTGGAAATGGACTATTATTATCAGTGTTTCAAGCAATTAAGTTGGTATTTCTATCGTCTTTCATTATTTTGCACCTTTTAAAAGTCTTATGTGAGGTAAATAAAAACATATTTTGTTTAAAGAATATTATTCCAATAGTGTTGGAAGTTAGACAAGTTATATTGACTCTAGAAGCTAAGAAAAAGTGACAGCAATTAAGATTTCTTAAATATTTTTAAGCAATACCTGTTTTACATTGTGAAAACTAAAAGATATTTAAGAAATCTTACATCTAGTACATAGGATTGTTTTTGTGTGTAGCATCTTATTTTGGTTTTGGATAGTCTATGAATGCAGAATATGGTTATAAATCTTAAAGCTTTAAAAAATATTTCTTTTAAAAATGTGTTTTTTTATCATTTTATCTCCTTTTTAAAATTTGCAGATAATGAACATGTGTATATGGAGTTGTCACAAAAGCTTTATAAGTATTGTCCAAAAGAATGGAAGAAAGAGGCCAGCAAGGTACGCCAATATGAAGTCACTTGGGTGAGATTGCATTTATGAGCAAAAGTATTTTAATTTGTTTAAAAATGTATTTTAGTTGTTATAGTTTAGGAAGAAATTAATACTATGTTAAGCAGTGCAGAATAGGAAAGGAATTCAGTTCTAAAATGCCAAATTAGTCAAGTATGAATAGCTTACAACCCATAACAATAAGTTCAGAGATTTGGTAAAATAATGCCACATAATAACTTTTTTATAATCTTGGAATAATACTTTTAAATGAAAAGTCAAGATAGAATCATAGTATTTGTTCATCTTCTATAGCAGTTCCACTTATCAAAACTGATATTCCAGAAGTAAATTTTAAACCTTTTTTGTTGTATTTATAATTGATTGTAAGTATAGTATACTTATTATTTTATTATACATGGTGCACTAATTTTTAATTTTAATAATTGTTTTATTATACATGGTGACTCTCTTTTCAGTTAGGAGTATGACTGAGTAGTTTACATGATCTTTTCTATATCATCCAAGTTAGTTAAGTCAGTAATAAAACCAGTGTCTAATCCTCCATCCTCCAATTTGTATTTAAGAATTCTTGCAATAAGCTGAAAGACTACTTCAAAGCTAAGTACAAAGTAGGGACATGAAGGTCTGAATAAACAAACAGCTTATTAGAATTTGGTATGTGGAATGTCAGAGGAACAAGAGAACATTTGTAATAAGGAGCAAATGGTCACAACAGGGGACAGAGCAGTGAGAGGAGCTGGATCTCAGCTAGAAATTTCCACTGGCATTTATTTTTATCTCCCCTTATGTTGCCATTGGCATTATAGTGAATGAGAACTTGAGGATCAGGTAATATGATGGTGCCCATTATTCTCTATAAGTATCTGGTTTTAGGTGAGCTTAATATCCATATGGAACATCTGTCTACCTAATATGAGCCTCCATTCATTAGAAGTGTATAAAGCATTCTTACGTTTAACAGTGTATATCAAAGAGTGGTATTTTGGTTGCTTTGGAAGCTCATTTTGAAGTCACTAACAAACAATTTAATTTCAATGTGTTAGGGTATTGACCAGTTTGGACCTCCTATGATCATCCACTTTCGTGTACAGTACTATGTGGAAAATGGCAGATTGATCAGGTATGTGGAGAAGAGTCATCTAAATTTTTTCCCACCCCCCACCCTGGTGGCAATTATATACTTTTCTAACCTAAGAAATTATTTCTTTAAGTTTGTTGTTGTTCTGCACCTCCTAGTAGAATGCTTTACATAAATGCAGGGTTCTGTTGTAAGTCTTTTTGCATCTTAATGTATTCTCAATCCCTAAAGCAAACAAATGTTATAAATTATTTGTTGAATGAATGAGTAAATAATTGAAAATTGATATTAGACTATCAATAAAAATATTGACTATGTTACCGGCTTACATTTTCTGTATTTCAAATTTCCCATGATAAATCAGTCACCAGAAAGCTTTCTTTCAAGAAAGAACAAGCTCTTTTAAAGGGTTTTATTTTTTCCAGTGGAAAGTAAGCAGGAACCCTCTCCTATAAAGTACACAGTATTTGTAGACCCTGATTTTCTTTCTGTGTTTAAGGTCTTTGTTTTATTTTTGGCAGTAACTTTACAATTAAAATTAAGACTTAGGAACTGTCCTATGAGAATCTTGATAGAGTTGGCAGTGGCCAGTTCTGAAGGTAGATGCACAAGGAATAACGTAGTCATGTTCCACATCCAGAATTCATCATTCAGAGAGTTCAGATAATCATGTGTATGCACACTTGTGGCACGTGGTTACATGTTCAACTGCTAACCAGAAGATCAGCAATAAATCCACCAGCCACTCCACAGAAGAAAAAGTGACGGTCTGTCCCATAAAGATTAAAGCATCAAAACCTCTAAAGGGATAGTTCTACTTGATGTTGTTGTTGTTGTTGTATACCGTTGCGTTGGAATCCACCCATAGCTGACCCTCCAGTGGGTTTTCAGAGGCAATTAATTGCACCAGAAGAGATTTCCCATCCTTCTCCCATGGAGCAGCTAGTGGCCGCCTTGAAACATGTGCCTTGGGGATTGCAGTGCAGCTTCTTGCACTAGGCCACCAGAGCTCCCTGCTTTATCCTATAAGGTCTCTTATTAGATGGCATTGACTTGACAGGACACAACAACAGAATTGGAAAAGTTTTCAGAAGTTATCTTTTGGCTAATTGAAAAATCTTAACTCTAGTCACACACCTCATATTGTCCATTTGGTCAACATCTAACTTCATATAGTAAAACCCAAACCAGACCCACTGCTATCTGGTCAGTTCCAACTCCTAGCATCCCTCCTTTACGTCTCCAAAGTCTTTACAAGAAGAAACTGATGAACACAACCTATCAACAATGTGTTTGCAAGTGATATGATATGCTCAAAGCAAGCAGATACATTGATAAGTTGAAATGTTAATAAAGGAGACGGGATGTAGTAAATGCAACAATTTCTCACACATGTGTGTCTCTTGTATACAAGGCAGTCGTGCTGCCAAGCTTATAATGGTACAGTACACATAGAATGTGTCTTTTATAATAGTTCTATTACTGGCTTATGACTGGACCATACTATACTTTCTATACAAAAAGTTTACTATTTAACAGTGTGTACTGCAGCTCATAGGCAGCAGTTTACAATCTCATGTGAGAATTGTAACATTATCACTGTTTATTTTTTTTTTCTTAAATACTACCATGAAGTTCATCATAGCTCCTTTAAAGAGCACAACAGTGTGTATGTGGTAGAAAATCAGTGAATACTGTTGCTCACAATTTAGGCCTGTTGTATTCAAGAAAAAATATTCCTCAAGCTATTAAAAGATCAGCTCTGCTGAAAGCTGCAAGGCTAGCAATGTGAGCAGGACCTATATTAGATATAGAGAAACTGCTGGTGCACTGGACCGAGGAGCAAGCACAAACGTGAACCCTTCTCAGCTTGTTGAGGATCACTGCGGAGGCGCACCAATTGTGAGGTGTTTAACCAAAGAGCAGGACCACACCGCAGTGCAGGGCTTACAGACATCCCAAATCACATGAGCATCCAGTTTCACAAAACCTGTCGTGGACGTTATTCAGTGCGCGACTATAATGTGAACTTTTACTTCATTTTGAACTTTGAGAAATCCCATTTAAAAGAGATAAAGGTGTACCATACTGTAGTGTATTGTTGAGTCAGATCCAATGTGTAGCTGACACTTCAGTGGATTTTCAGAGTTGGTAAATGGCACAGGAGGAGATGGCCCACCCTTCTCCCACAGAACTGCTGGTGGGCTCAGACTGTGTTCCTTTGGGATTGCAGTGCAGCTTCTTAACATCAGGCACCCAGAGTTCCCTGTACTGGACTACTGAGTGACATAGGAAAAATTAACTCTTAGTATTTGTATCATCCCAAATATACATTAAGAAATACATTTTTAAAAATCGTCACTAAGAAATAGACTTTCTAAAGGTTGAGAAACTTCTTCAGTGATTTATGGTTTATATAATTTTTCTTCCAATTTGTCTAGTAAGTGTGGAATGTGGTAGAAAAAAAATGAAAATATGTTCTTTAGCCACTAATTAACTCCCTGAGTGTTACAAATGCCTAATTCATATCTGTATTTCTACTCTTTGCCCCAGGGATGAACCAGTCCAAACTTGGTGTGGTCAGCACTTTAAAAGAATTTGTTGTTAATTGTCGTCAAGTCAAGTACAACTCATAGAGACTCTATGAATACAAGACTGAATGCCTTTCTGTAACTATTGTTGTTTCTCCAAGTGTATAGAGTTTCCATAGGCATGTGGTTTAGGAAGGGGATGTCACTCCTACTTCCAAACCTGTTATACAACTGGGAGCTCCACCAAAAATTCCTTATTGGGAAACCATTATGGTATTTGATACCCCAATGACACAAGGTTCAGAATCACAGCAAACCCAGATTACCTCAGTAGAGCAAATTGACAGAGTCGTGTACGAAGTAGAAGAATGTTTCTACAAAATATAACACTAGTCTCACTTAGCAGTGGCTAAGTGTCATCAAGTTGGATACAACTCATAGTGACCCTATGAACAAAAGACCTGAACTCTGTTCTATAATTAACATAATTTCTTTGTGTTTATAGAGTTTCCAGAGGTTTCTGGTTTAGGAAGTGGATGCCACTCCTACTTCCAAACCTGAATCAATCTGGAATGTCCTCCAAACATGTCCATTGTGGGTAACCATTAGGGTATTGATACAACTGTGGCACAGTGTTTATCATCACAGCAACTCCAAGTTATTCAGTACAGCAAATAGACAAACAACTGGTGTAACACTTCATTCTAACATTGATAAATTTGGCCCAAGGGCCAAATTTTGCTATTAAGCTATGATAAACCAAGCAGACCCTCCACCCTTGGGTCCTTGACCAAAACGAGTAAAGGTCCAACCAACTTAACACCTGCTTGTGGAGGGAAAAAACCAATAACACAAACCAGACACAACCCAAGATTTTCCTTATGTGACCCCCATAAATACACGAGAAATAAACTTCTAGAATGGAACCACTGCACAGGAGCCTGAAAAGTATTCTATCCCAAGGGGGGAATTACATAAATTCTTTATTTTAAGCTCTCTATACTTAAATGTGGCCTTGGTTAAAGTAAATGCTTGTGTTCTTTTTATCATCAACTAAAAAGTTCTAAATCTCAGGCAAGCAGTCCACTAATAAAGCTGACCCTCTGGCAGGTTTTCGGAGACAGTTAATCACATGGGAAGAGATTGCCCACCTTTCTCCTGCAGAACAGCTGGTGACCTCGAACCACAGCTGGGATTGCAGCATGCTTTCTTGCCGCTAGGCCACCAGAGCTCCCTAATAAAATAATAGGGAGATAAATAATGGCATTAAAAATGCATGCACACACATGTTATTGTGTTCTATTGATGCAGAACGAACCCTTAGCTGACCCTCCAGCAATTTTCCCCCCTCTGGTGCCTTAATGGGTAAGAAGCTGCTCTACAATCCCAAAGGCACATGGTGCGAGGCCACCAGCTGCTCCATGGGAGAAGAATGAGCAGTCTCCTCCCATGAGATTAACTGCCTTTGAAAACCCTCTGGAGAGTCAGCCATGGGTTGGTTCCGACTCTATAGTACAGAACAACAACAAATCTCTTGGAAGAAGATTGCCTTTCCTTCTTCCATGGAGCAGCTGGTGGACTTGAACCATGTGCCTTTGGGGTTGTAGCACAGCTTCTTACCACTACATATTACCACTATATATGCGTTCACTTTGATCACAAGAGATCATGTTTTGCCTGTAGCATATTATGGACCGCGTTTTTTTTTTCTCAGCACTTCTTAATGTATTCAATGGTGACTTTGGTGTAGTGGCCAAGTCATAATCAGCTGTGCTTTCACCACATAGGCAGGCAGTTCAGATCCATCTACTGCTCCATGAAAGTTGAGCAGTTTCCTACCATGTGATTTACAGCTTCCAAAAACCCGCTGGAAGGCCTGCCTAATCTGCTCCCTCTCAACAGCACATAACAGCATCACCAATATATGTCTTGGAAAAAATGAAAGCAAGGTGCTGCTTAAAGGCAAGGATAGTGAAAATTCATCTAAGATACTTTGATACATGTTGTTAGAAGAGGACAGCCTTTGTAAAAGGACCTCATGTTTGGAAAAGTGGAGGGTCAGTAAAGGGAGGGGAAGCTCTTCAAAGAGATGAATTGACAGTAGATGGTATACCAATTGACATATTTCAGTTAACAGATGCTGCTCTGGACTTGCTCACCAAGTTGTGCCAAGAAATCTGGAGAACAACCACTTGGCCAACTGACTGGAAGAGATCTATATTTGTTCCTATCCCAAAGAAAGGTGACCCAACAGAATGTGGAAACTACAGAACATGCAAGCAAGATTTTACTGAAGATTATCCAAAAACGACTGGAACAGCACATCAACAGAGAGCTGCCAGAAGTCCAGACTGGGTTTAGAAGGGGTCGTGGTACTAGGGATAGTGTAGCTGATGTTAGATGGATCTTGGCTGAAAGCAGGGAATACCAGAGGAATGTCTATCTGTGTTTCATTAACTATGCAAAGACATTTGTGTAGATCATAACAAACTATGGCTGACTCTGAGAAGAATGGGAATCCCAGAACACTTGATCGTTCTAATGCGAAACTTATACTTGGACCAGGAGGCAGTCGTCAGAACAGAGCAAGGGAACACTGCATGGTTCAAAATTGGGAAGGGCGTACGCCAGGGATGCATCCTATCTCCATACCTTTTCAACCTATATGCAGAACAGATTATCCGGGAGGCTGGGCTCTATGAGGAGAAATGTGGGGTCAAGATTGGTGGACGATTTATCAACAATCTGTGTTATGCGGATGACACAACCCTGCTTGCTGAAACTGAGGAGGACCTGAAGCGCCTGCTGCAGAGTGTCAAGGACTGCAGCCTACAATATGGATTGAGGCTCAATGTCAAGAAGACAAAGATTCTCACCACTGGACCAATTGGCAGCATCAGGATGGATGGTGAAGAGATTGAGATTGTACACAGCTTTAGTTTGCTTGGCTCCACAGTCAAGTCTTGGCACCAGCAGCCAGGAAATTAAAAGGCGCATTGCCATGGGAAAGTCTGCTGTTAGAGAGTTGGACAATGACCAAGGAGGATAGAAGGAGAATTGATGCCTTTGAGCTGTGGTGCTGGAGAAGAGTATTGAGAATACCATGGACTGCTAGGAAAACAAACAGATTTGTCCTGGAAAGGGTTAAACCGGGTGGCTCCTTGGAGGCAAGGATTCTGAGGCTCCGTCTAACATACTTTGGACATGTTGTGAGGAGAGACCGGTCCTTGGAGAAGGACATCATGCTTGGGAGGGTGGAGGGACAGTGCAGGAGAGGAAGGCCCTCTATGAGGTGGATTGATTCAGTGACTGGGATAATTGGGATGGGAGTGTCAGAGACAGTGCGATTGGCACAGAACAGAGCAGAGTTTAGGGCTGTTGTACATAGGGTCGCTATGAGTCGCAAGTGACTCGATGACACATAACAACAACATAACAATGGGACCAAGTATATCATAGTTACTGAGGATTGCACAGGGTAGGGGAAAGTTCATATCTTGTTCATGTGGTAGATTTGATGGCACCTAACAACAACACATTTATTTCTGACTTTAATCGTTTGTAAAGAATATGTTTTGTAGGAAGTATTGTGATTGATATGGCATTTACCTTTTATGTTTAGAAAGTGATACTCTTTATAATCATAACAAAAAAGGAATTTAGGAAAGCTTTTAGTTAATTCTGTTTATGAGAAGAAAACAGTATTTGAAAGAATTTGTTCTTAAAAACATTGTATTTGTGTTTTGAAAATAAGCACATAGGAAAACCCCCAATATTTAAAGTTAAATCTCTTTTTAGAAGGATATATATAGAAACAGTTTTAGAAGTATGAGTCTTAGGGGAGCTCTGGTGGCCTGGAGGCAAAGAGCTGCAACTACAATCCCAGAGGCAAACGGTTCGAATCCACCAGATGCTCTGCCAGGGAAGGAGGGACAATCTCCTCCTGTACCAGTCAGAAGTAAGAGTCTTTGTTTTTTATAGCAGAAACAAAAAGCAATAAAACAAAGCCAGAACTGCCTCTCCAGTAAGTCCTTATTTATACAATGTATGTAACAAAATTATTTGAATATACAACAAATGTGGGGGCTTCTATTCTAAAAACCTTGTTAAATGAAGTACTTACCAGATTGAAGTGGAATAATTAGAATCTTTTTTCTCTTACTCTGAATGAATCAAATGTTATAAGCCTTAGGAAATTTAGTTTTACAGTCTGAGTAGTCTGATTTGGAGTCTGGCACACCTGTGGCCTCAGTGACACAGCAGTCAGGTAGCTACAACCTCCTCTTTTTCACTGATGGAGGAAGAAAGGGTCTGGAGGAGGGAGAGACAGAAACAGAGGCCTCCTGTCACTGGATGGATAGCAGGATTTGAGTTCTGTTTACATGCCATTGGATTTTTCTGTCAAAATGTGAGTTTTGTTTTCTTTTCTTTTCCTAGTGACAGAGGAGCAAGATACTATTATTACTGGCACCTGAGAAAACAAGTTCTTCATTCTCAGTGTGTGCTCCGAGAGGAGGCCTACTTCCTGCTGGCGGCCTTTGCCCTGCAGGCTGATCTTGGCAACTTCAAAAGGAATAAGCACTATGGAAAATACTTTGACCCAGAGGCTTACTTCCCATCTTGGGTAGGCAAAGTTTTCTATGTTTCTCTAGATTTTCTGTGTTTTCTCTATCATCACACAGTGTGCTGTTATTAATTTTACTATAAGACATGGGAATACAGATATTCTGTGGCTCGTTAAATCTTTCATGATGGCCAAACAGAAACATGACTGTAACACTTGAGTTACATGGCCCACACAGTGTCTTGACATACTCTTGCTACTTATCTGTTTATAGTTTATGGGGAAGAGGATTGCTGTCTATCCTTAAATATAGTGTTGGAAATTAGAATTTCTGTCCTTATTTTGACATTTCTGTGGGCTTGACTGTTTTTATCTACTGTTAATAGAATAGCATTTTCCCTTGTCTGGAGGGAGGAAAACATTATTCTTTATAAGGTGAGATCATTCATAGGCTTTCCTCTGCTGAGAAAACAAATACAAGTACATAAACTCTTGGCTCTGACCACTAACACGTTCACTCAGAAGAGTGACCCAGTTACTGGAAGCAAGAAACTTGCTCCCATACTTCCGTCCATTTGTGTTTCCATCTTATCACCTCACCTGTATCTCATGGAAAGATCCTGTCTTACTTGGTCCCACCCTATGGTGTTTCTCTAAATCCCTCCTGTATTTTCTTCCCTTTTCTGCATCTTCTGCTCCTCCCGCACATTGACTCTTCTTCAGTAAGTACATACAAAATTTGTTCTTGCCCATCCCTCCTCAGGAAAGAAAAGAGGGAAAAGGGAAGAGCTCCTACTCTTATTTTCCCTTCTTAGTCAAGCACCTTAAAAGAGCAATGAGTATGTAGTATTTTAGCATCTTTGCTTTTCTGTATATTTTCCCAGTCCATTTCCACATGTCTTCTCCCACAGTTGCACTAATGGTCCCCTCCCTAACATGATTTCTATTTCTGTGAAATCCATTAGATCCTTTTTTTCTAAATTTTTTTTGCCACATGCAACACTTCACCACTCACTTACATCTTGGGAGATCTCACATGAAGTAATGCTTTTAACAACCACCTACATGCTGGCAACTTCCAAATCAGTTTGTCTTCTCTTACATTTTTTGTTACAATTAGCTATACATAAACACTTCAGTCTGAAAATGTCTCAAATTCATTATCTTCTCATTTAAGTTTTATATATTTCTACTTTCTTTCCCAGTAGGCTTAGTGAGTGGCACTACTATCCACTGAGTTATACAAAAATTTCAGATACAGACATCTGAAGAGACCTACAGAACTCCCCTTTTTCTTTCATCCCTTGCCATTCAGTCAATTCCACCTACTAACACCTTGTTTCCCCTCACCCAGCTTGCAAAATAGATGCACATTTCTGTTGTGACTGTTGTTAACTTCCTAGCTGAGATTTCCTTTGTCAAGATTGTTTGTACTGTTTCCCAGGTCTGGCTCCCATCTGTACTTGGCAGCACTATTTTGGAGGTTTGTCCTTGTTTCAGTCTTTGCTCCACAGCTTGCAGATTAAATTATTTTGTCACCTATTTGTGGGAAGTGCAGGCTCCCATGTATGACCTCCAAGCTCTCCCTTGCCTGTGTTTTCAGTTTCCTTTCTGGTTGCCCTGCACTTTGAGCTTTATGCTCAAGCAACATACATTTTTTTATTACCCTGAATCTAACGTGTTTTTTCACACTTTTCAGCTTGCTTTATTGCCGTTTCCTTAGACTGATCTCCTCTTTTCACTTTGCTAACTCCTGTTCATCCTTCAAGGCTCAGCTAAGCATGGTTTCCTCTGGCAGACTTCTCTGGACTTAAGTCTCTGAAGATAAATCTATCATAGTGTGGATTTTCTTGTTTGGTTGGTTGAGGGTTTTTTTTTTAAATTTTATATTGTTTTACATAAGCAGTATGCATAGTATGAAACATTGTGTTTCATACTATCCTTCATTCACATTGTGTTTCATACAATTATTCCCATTCATTATGTTTTCTAAAATTAATCACCACTAAACTATGCCCACTGTTATGCTGTCTTTCCACATCACCATTGGATCTTTCCCATTTCCTTTACTCTTACCTCCCCCATCCGCCAAATTATATAACCCTATGATTTCCACCGTGCCCATCCAGCATCAAATTAATCTTGTCTAGTTCTTCAGCCTTTACACTGAGGTACTTAATCACTTTTTGTTAATTGACTTTGTTTTAATTGAATATCTCTTCATTAATAGTCGTTAATTGCTTTGTCTGCTAGAGAGTTGTAACTATCTAAATTTCAGTTTATCACATTACCTTTTCCATCTATGACAGCATTGCCCCCTACTGAGAATCGTGGTTGTGTCGTGCTGAGGCATCACTTTCTCTGACCTTTTATTTGTTGAAGAAAAACCACATACATAAAGTATCAACTGTTGAACCATCGATGTAACTGGACCAAAATGAGTTCATATTGACATGACCTACTTGTCATCCTATAGTCACTGAATCGTAATAATTTAAACCAGAGTGTCCCAGTTAATGCACCATGTCACCTAGGTTGCTGAATTACCATTCCCTTTGAGATGACCAGAACTTGATACTCTTACAGATGTTATTTTCTGTATAATCTTTACCTGAAAAAGATTGACAGATACTTATTTAAATAATCTTTATATAAAGTCTAGGGTTCTAGAAATAAAAATTAATACCAAAACTTGATAAATCAGCCAATAATTCATGTTTAGTTATCTGTAAAATATTTAGGACAGAGAATGAAATTGTAAATATAAAGATAGTATTTTAAAACTAAACATTCTGAACATTTTACTCTTTTTGTTCACTTTATACAATCCTTGCCATGTTTTGTAATCCTTATAAAATCATCTAAGACTTTAACTAATCAACACCTTTCTCTTAGCCCGCAGCTGTTGCATACTATATATTTTTGACATTTAAAGGCTTACACTGTTGTCCAATGAAAATCTAAGCTGCAATGAATAGTAAAGAATGTTTGGATGACTTTGTTTTGTCTTACATGCTTAAATAGAATGTTCATATTCAGTCGCTTATGCAAGAACCAAAAATGTTTCAGAGAATTCTTCCCAGTCCTCTGCCTTTTTTGGATTAACATTCAGAACCTCCTACTTTGTGACTGTAATTTTAGAAGAGTTAAATAGGATCCAGAACCTGAAGATGTGCTGACAGTACATGTATTTCATGATGCTATTAATTTTGCAAGTACAAACAGTGGTGCATACATAATTATCCAAGCTTGCATGCCCTTTTTCTTGGTGCTTTTAAAACTAAAAGAACACACACACACACACACACACACACACACACACACACCAATTTCCTGAGATTTTTCTTAGGAACACAGCGCTGCAGTAATAATGACTTTGTAGCTTTCTAATATTAGTGAATTCTGCCTAGTAATTTAACAGTTGGGGGAAACATGACGATGGTGGAAATATTCTAATGGAAATTAGCCAATTTACGTAGCCTATTTTAGGTTCACTTCCTTTCATCATTTAGGGCTATGGGTAGTGCTTACATCCCTCCAACAAATGTTGCATTGCACATCCCTTGTATTCCAACAGGTTGTTTCCAAGAGGGGGAAGGACTACATCCTGAAGCACATTCCAAACATGCACAAAGATCAGTTTGCACTGACCGCTTCCGAGGCCCATCTTAAATATATCAAAGAAGCTGTCCAACTGGATGATGTCGCTGTTCATTACTACAGATTATATAAGGTATACAACAGCAAAAACTGCAGCTTTTCAGAAGACAGATACTTTCTCCATTAGGAGAAGTTTTATTGAAAACTGTTATTTCATTTTAAAACAGCCTTTTAAAAAGATTTCATTTAAACTGTTACTTGTTATCACAAGTTGGTCTTCGAAACTTGGATGATTTTCTTCTGGTCTAGAGGTTGATGTAGTAGTTTTTCATGTTCCTAATGAAATAACAAGTACTACAAATTGTGATTCATGTTTCTCAATGATTATAGAATAGTTATAATTTTCCTCCTCAAATCTTCTTTTCTGCTTTTAGAAATAGCATTTGCAACTTGTTTAATGCTAATTTTTATGGCCCTCAAAGTGAGACTACACCAACATTGTGCCCATAATTAATAATAATGTTACCCCATCTGCTAGAAGGATAAGGTAGAATTCCTGGATATGGTTTGTGAGGCTGTGAATCCTTATAAAAGAAGAATGCCACAATGTTTTCTTGCAGAGTGACAGTGGGTTTCAGTTGCCAACCTATTGTTTGCAGTCAGCCATATTAACCACCATGCCATTAGGACTCTTAGGGAACTTAAATGATTGACCAAAAATCACAAAACCAGTGTCTCAGAGGCACTATTCAACCAAGGTCTAAACAGCAAAGCCTGTGTCCTTATGCCATGAGACTTCCTCCCATCTCAGAAGTTTGCTGTTTTTCATTCTGTCCTGTCATCTAAGTGTCCTTTTTTCATCCTGCCCACTAGTAACTTGGGTTGGTCTCTCTAGGGAATCACTCATCCTACAATTTATTGTCATCTTGCCTTGTCTTCCTTTCCCCTTCCTCAGTTCTACTTTTCCCACAAGTGCCATTTCATTGGCAAGTCATCCTGAATTCCCACTTTAAGCAATCACAGGTCTATTCTCAAACCAAATGGGAAGTCATTAAAATGGTGATCCATTGGTCTTAACTGGCTGGGACTGAATCCCATTTTTGCCTCATGCTGTATGCCATTAGGCAAATTACTTAACTTCCATATGCTTCAGTTAAATGGGGACAGTAACATACCTGCATCTCAGGATTATTGAAGAGTAAAGGACTTAATGACTGAAAAGTACTTGAAATCCAGCCTATATTAAGCACGATATACTTGCCCATGTTGCTACTATTACTATCTTCACCACACCCTTTAAGATTAGTGTAACTAGACCATTGGAGACTGGACTTGACTTTGAATGTTTTGCCAGATCATCATCCTGGTATGTTCAGAAAACATAATAAGCCCAAGAGGTGTGTTGATAGTGTCATATTATTCTTGAAAGGCATACTCGAGATCTACTTGGCTCTGTCCCTGAAGGAATGTTTTGTTTGTTGTCATTGTTCCCTTAAGAGATTTCACTTATGGTTCTATAGATAAATCTAAATTTACACTATGGTACGTAGTGTAAGAACATGCAGAGGAATGACATTTTTACTATCAGTGTATATTTTAAAGTTTATTAAAAGTTTGAATGCTGTATTGGAAAGAATGTGATTTTGAAATTACATACCAGTTAGAAACCTTAGGTCACCACTTAATATCATGGGATGCTGGGCAAATACAACTGTAGTCATGGGTGATACCAAACACTTCACATGTTTGGGAGGATTCTATGAGATAATGAATCTGAAATAGCTGGGTGAGGTGCCTAACAGATTAGTGATTGCCCAATAAATTACTTGCCCACTGCCATCAATCCAGTTCCAACGCATTGCTACCCTTTGCTGGGTGTCCTAGCTGTAAATTGTATTGGGAGGAGACTGCCCATCTATCTTCCATGAAGCAACTGGTGAATTCAACTTCTGGAGACATATCACGTTTGGATTAGCAGCATTCTTTGCTACAAATTATATCACCAGGGCTCCATGCTCAATAAATAGAAATGTATTTTATTGCTTTATTTGCTAGAGGAGCTTGCTATTTTAACGAACGCTCTTAAGGGTCTATAAAGACATACATACCAAATTTCTTTTTTTATAGAAAAAGAGATTTTTAAAAATATGTAAATAAAGTAGGAAAACAAATAGTACTTAATGGGTAGAGTTTTTAATCTTTGGAGAAATCAGTTAGCAGCTATTAAAATGTCTGCTTTTAGAGGCTGCTTATAAACTGTCAACAATGTAGACAGAGACAGGAAATATTATAGGGAGAAAAAATAAAACTATGTCCTTCTACCACCATACATGTACAACCAATGTTTCTACAACTGTAGTCTGATTTCAGGAAGCAGTCAAAACAGCTCTGAAAGTGAAATTGGCTTAAAATAATGTACATCATGATAGAGAAGATTGAAACTGTCAATGAATTCATCTTACTTGGATCCACAATCAACAAAATTGTTACTAACAGTCTGAAGATCAGGAGATTGGATTGTCCTGGATTAGATTGGGGAATTCTGTAGTCACAAACCTCTCCAAATTACTGAGGAGCAGTGATGTCAGTTTGAAGACTAAGGTATACCTGACTCATGCCATGATCTTTCAATCCCTTGGTGTATATCTGAGAACTTAACAGTGAATAAGATAATAGAAGAATTGATGCCTTTGAGCTGTGGTATTGGAGAAGAACACTGGATATTCTGTAAACTATGAAAAGAACAAGCAGATATGTCTTGGAGAAACTACAGCCCAAGTGCTCCTTGGATACAAAGATGACAAAGCTTTATCTCACATACTTTGAGTATGCTGTTAGGAGAAATTATTCCTTGGAGAAGGACATCATGCTTAGAAAGGTGGAGGGTGGGCAAAGAGAGGAAAATTCTCAAACAGTTGGATTGACACAATGACTACTGCAAGGGGCTCGACTATGTCAGATGATGAGGATGTCATGATGAGGATGGGATGAGACAGGGTTCAGATCTGTTGTTTATAGGGTCGCTATGAGTCATACTCAAATCGATGGCACCTGACAGCAACAACAACAGTGATATATTAGTTTCTCTTTGTCTCTATAAGGTGTCTTTCTTGATGTAAAAATATATGAGTTGGGAAAAGAAGTCCACATAGTAAAATTAGGTTATATATTCTCTTTAGTATGCCAGCTATGGATGCATTTTTTAAAACATTTCCTATGTATGGGAAAAATTATAAGTAATTTTTATTTGTACTTAGAAATTCATTACTGAATATACATATTGCACCTGGTATGACTATTTTTCCTTAAATTCCTGGTAGTTTATTTTTTAGAATGTCTCTCATATTGGGAAGCTCATAATTGAGCTTCTTAAAAAGTCTTTTTTTTCCAAATGGAATATAAAGCTTTTTATAGCTTCGTTATTTGCCTCTATTTTTGGCTTCAGCATTTGAAAATTTGCCCAATTTTAAGTGTTTAAAGTCTAGTCCATCTCAGAGTACAACTGTAATACTAAATTTAAGATTCTGAATTCTGAAAAAGATTATGTTGTTGTTGTTGTTATGTGCCGTCGAGTCGCCTGCGACTCATAGCGACCCTATGTACCACAGCCCTAAACTCCGCTCTGTCCTGTGCCAATCGCACTGTCTCTGACACTCCCATCCCAATTATCCCAGTCACTGAATCAATCCACCTCATAGAGGGCCTTCCTCTCCTGCGCCGTCCCTCCACCCTCCCAAGCATGATGTCCCTCTCTAAGGACAGGTCTCTCCTCACAACATGTCCAAAGTAAGTTAGACGGAGCCTCAGAATCCTTGCCTCCAAGGAGCCTCCTGGTTTAACCCTTTCCAGGACAAATCTGTTTTCCTAGCAGTCCATGGTATTCTCAATACTCTTCTCCAGCACCACAGCTCAAAGGCATCAATTCTCCTTCTATCCTCCTTGGTCATTGTTCAACTTTCTGATGCATAACAGGTGATTGCGAAGACCATGGCCTGTATCAGACGCACCTTAGTCTCCAGAGAAGGGGTATTTTTCTAAAACGTTCAAATGATGCAAAAGCAAAAATCTGAGGTACTAAAATTTTCAAAAAGTGGAATACTGTCAAACATGAAGATGTTATCACTCATTCACTTGTTGCCAGCAAGTTAAAGCCAGTCCATAGTTTTCCCTTCGCTAGATCTCTAAGGCGGTGAATTTCATGAGAGTCTATTGCTCATTTTTTTACCACAAAGCAGTTTGTGGATTCCGTTGTGCAACTCCCTATGGCTTAGCATAGTGACAATACTAATACTTTGAAGTAATAGAGATTTTCAGAATAAAATATTTACTAATATTGATGTTTATATAAACATAATAATATGTTTCGGTTTCTTAAAAGTTGGTGGAAAACTAGAGATGTGGAAAGACATTTTAAGTTATTTTAAATAAAAAACTTTCCAGTTGTGCTTCTGGTGCTGGATTATACATTGTAGAGTAAAAATATTGTTTTCGTAATATTTTGTTCCTACAGTACAAAAGAGAAATTGAAGCTTCACTAACCCTTGGGTTGACAATGCGGGGAATTCAGATTTTTCAGGTTGGTAAATACAAAATAATGTACAAATGTACAAATGATGTTTTACATTTATACTGTACCTGTTCAGTGGTTCCCTTTTGGCCATTGTTGGTCATTATTCCCTGTTTTTCTAATAGAGCAGGTGATATGGGATAGATGAACTCAGTCAGTCTAATTCTATAAGCCAAAGAATAGCTCAGGTTCACCACTAATGTATGACTAAAAGATAATTAATCTCCAAAAATGTCTGTACGTGTCACTTATTTTAAATAATCTCTTTTATCCTTTAGCAAATATCCTATCTGTGCAAAGAAAAATTAGATTTGTTATAGTACCTGGAACACATTTTAATTTCTGTTGCACATTGATAATAAAATTTGTTCCTTGAGTAGTACTAATTACACTCATTTGTAGGATGGTGTTATCCTACAGCCATCAGCATGGGAGTGGGGAAAGTACTCGTCTTTGCCAGATATAGAATGTCAGTTTGTTTTATCTTTGACATAGGCAAAATAGCCAATTATGAAAGTGTGTGTGTTTTCTCTCTTCAATTTAGTGTCTGAATCTTTTGGACTTTTTATTTCAGTTTAAAAATAGTCCAAAAGGGAAAAAAGGCCAGTTATGCCACCAACCCAGGAACCAGAAGGTAGACAGTTGTATCACTCATCTTTTAATTACTCTCCAACTCTGCCAGAGAGACTTAGGGACCTTTTTCCTTTTTCAATTACTATGTTTTTGTTTTCTAGCAGAGAAGTGAAGACAATTTTAGGATCTCTGCTGGTTTTCTCAGCAACTCATTTGCCTTTTGATTCTTTCCTCAGAACTTAGCTGAAGAAAAACAATTACTGTATGATTTCCCCTGGACTAATGTTGGAAAATTGGTGTTTGTGGTAAGTTTACAATAACTGACTCTAAAGAATGACAGGCTTGTTGTTTGCTTTTATGGATTTCTGTTGTTACTTTGGTGTTTTTTTGGATGGGTTTGTTGTTGTTGTTTTTTAAACAGTATTGTGCCACACATTATTGCTGAAAATATTATTAGATATTTTTGAAAAGTTGTTGAAGATCATTGGCCTTCTTGTATACTTAAGCATGTACTGTAAACCTTATCATGTATCAGTAATAAACTTAAAGAACCTGTGTTGTTGTTGTTGTTGTTGTTATGTACAACAGGTTGGAAATTAGTCATAGCTGACCTTCAAGTAGGTTTGAAAGGCATAAACCTTTTTTATTTCTCAGAGATAGTGGTGGCTTCAAATCATGTGCCTTAAGGTTGGCAGCACAACCCCTTACACTGGGCAGCCAGAGATCCCTTAACTTATCTGCTGCTGTTGTTATTGTTGTTAGCTGTCATCGAGTCATATACAACTCACAGTGACCCCATGAACAAAAGATCTGAATCTTGTTCTATCCTGCACAAAGCATCTGTAGCAAAAGACATCATTCTTTTAATTTGTGTATTTAGTCTCCAACACAATTCCGGAGTTAAACTAGTTGAATAAGGATTATGATGTTAAAAAGTCCAGGGTGAATTCATGAAATACAATTCTTTTTAAAATCTACAGCAGGCAGACTAGAAACTAGAAAGCTGTAAGTGTTCAAGGTTCGATGACCTTAGCAGGGGATATGGAACATTCTTTTTGATGTCACTTCTTTTAAGCAAAGAATAGAGTGATATAAAAAGATGAATTTCTTACTAGCTGTTTGAAACTCATCATTATAAAGAAAGTTTACAGTTTTTAACAAAAAAAGTACTTCTATTTTTAGAATATTGAAAAGTATACATTTTCTTTTGTTAGAGAATATTCTCCATTTTCATCTTTCCCATCAAGCTGCCTGTTTACCTTGCCAACTATACCCATCTTAAAAATTCTATAGTTGTTTGACTGTTGATCACAACAAATTGTAACTAACATTGAGGAGAATGGGAATCGCAGAACATTTGGTCATGCTTATGCAAAACCTATACTTAGACCAGGAAGTAGTCCTCAGAACAGAGCAGAGAAACACTGCATGGTTCAAAATTGGGAAGAAGTGCATCAGGAATGTGTCTTGTCTCCATGCCTTTTCAGTCTATATACAGAACAGATTATCCAAGAGGCTGACTCATCAACAACCTATGTTATGCAGATGACACAACCTTGCTTACTGAAACTGAGGAAGACCTGAAGCGCTTGCTACAGAAGGTCAAGGACTGCAGCCTTCAATGTGGATTGAAGCTCAACATCAAAAAGACAAAGATTCTCACCACTGGGCCAATTGGCAGCACCAAGATGGGTTGAGAAGAGATCGAGATTGTTAACAATTACAACTCCACAATCAACACTCTTGGTACCAGCAGTGAGGAAATCAAAAGACAGATTGCATTTGGTAAATCTGCCATCAGGGATCTTTCCAGAGTACTGAGAAGCAATAGTCAGTGTAGAGACTAAGGTGCACTTAATCCAGTCCATCTTCTTTGCAATTACTTGAGAAACATCAGCGAGCTGGACAATGGCTAAGGATGATAAAACTGATGTCTTTGAGTTGTATTGCTGGAGAAGAGTCTTGAACATACCATGGACTCCCAAGAAAACAAATCTGTCTTGGTTGAGGGTGAAACCAAGTTTCTCCTTGGAGGTTGGGATTTTGAAGCTTCATCTCACATATTTGTGACATGTGGCCAGAAGGGACTGATCCTTGGAGAAGGATATCATGTTCAGAAGGGTGGAGGAGAGGAAGAACCCAGATGAGATAGATTGATATAACATCTAAGGCAATGGGGGTATTTTTGTCAGAGTCAGTGAGACTGGCTCAGGAGAGGGCAGGACTCAGAGCTATTGTATATAGTGTCTCTATGAGTCACAGGCTACTTGACAGCACATAACAGCAACAACATATATACCTCTTAGTGTCAGCCACAACTTATTGTGATCCACACAGGCAAATGTCTTTGCATAATCAATAAAGCATAAATACACATTCTTTTGGTATTCTTTACTTTCAGCCAGGATCCATCAGACATCAGCAATGACATCTCTGGTGCGACAGCCTCTTCCAAATCCTGCTTGAACTTCTGGCAGTTCCCTGTCTATGTACTGTTCTAGCCTTTTTAGAATGATCTTTCTTCAGCAGTATTTCGTTTGCATGTGACATTAACGATATTGTTTGGTGGTTTCCACATTCAGTTGGATCACCTCTCTTGGGAATGGTAACAAAAATGGACCTCTTCCAGTCTGTTGGCCAGACAGCTGTCCTGCAATATTCCTGGCATCGACTGGTGAGCACATCCAGTGCTGCATCTGTTAATTGAAACAAGCTATTTGGTATCCCATCGATTTCTGGGGCCTTATTTTTTGCCAGTATGTTCAATGCAGCTTCTACTTCCTCCTTCATTTCCATTGGTTCTTGTTCATATGGTACTTCCTGAATTTTCAGTGTCAGTCAATTCTTTCTAGTACAGTGACACTGTGTATTCCCTCCATCTTCTTTTGATGCATTCTGGGTCATTCAATATATTGCCCATAACATCTTTCAATATTGTGACACAAGGCTTAGATTTTTTCAGTTCTTTCAGCTTGAGAAATAAAGAGCAAGTTCTTCACTTTTTATTCTCCAATTTCAGATCTCAATACATTCCATTATAATACTTGGCTTTATCCTCTCTAGCTGCCCTTTGAAATCAGTTCAGTTCTTTCATATCAATGTGTTTTCCTTTTGTTTTGGCATCTTGATGCTCCAGTGTAATCTTTAGAGTCTCTTCTGACATCCATTTTAATTTTTTCTTTGTCCTCTGTTTTTGTAATGACCAGAGCACTTAATTGTGCTCATGCAGAACCTATACCAGCATACTGTGTGAACAGTGCAGGGGAAAATTAAGAAGGTTTAAAATTAAGAAGGGAGTGTGTCAGGATGAGAAGCTGGACTCTGTGAAGAGGAATGTGGCATCAGGATTGGAGTGAGACTAATCAATAATCTACATTATGCAGATGACACACCTTGCTTGCTGAAAATGAGGAAGACTTGAAGTACTTGTTGCAGAAGAGCAAGGAATGCAGCCTTCAGTATGGATTACATCTCAATATCAAGAAAACAGAGATTCTTACCGCTGGGCCATAGACAGAGTCATGATGGATGGAGAAGAGATTGAAACTGTCAACAACTTCATCTTGCTTGAATCCACAATTAACGTCTTTGGTACCTGCAGTCAGGAAATAAGGAGATGCATTGCACTGGGAAAATGTGCAGCTAGGGGCCTCTCAATTATTGAGGACTAATGATATAAGTTTGAGGACTAAGGTGTGTCTGATTTAGGCCAAAGTCTTTACGATTATTTGTTATGCAGCTGAGATCTGGACAATGAATAAGGATGACAGAAAAACAATTAATTCCTTTGAGCTGTGGTGTTTTAGGAGAGCCCTGAACATCCTATGGACAGCCAAGAAAATGAACAGAAATGTCTGAAAAGGTACATCCAGAGTACTCTTTGGAGGCAGAAATGATGAGACTTCGCCTCTCGTGCTTTGGGCATGTTGCTAGGAGGGACTATTCCTTGGAGAAGAACATGATGGTGGAAAAGGTGGATGATCGGCGAAGGAGAGGAAGACCCTCAACTGACATGATGACTGCTGCTGTGGGCTCTTGTGGGTCAGGAAGTGTCAGGTTTCAGATCTTTTGTTCATAGGGTCTTTCTGAGTTGTACTCAACTCGACAGCACTTAACAACAACAACATATACATCTAATTGTTGCTAAAAATGCATGACTTTACTTTGTTTTTAAAGTATTGGAAAAAAAGTATACCCATAAACAATGCAAGAGGAACAAGAAAGATTTGGGCAGAGACTTGTTCCTGTAAGGAGATAGCCTGTGGACACAGAGGGATATATTTCTAGATAGAATGTGGGCGTTGTTTCTGACTTTGCATTACTTTAATTACTTGGACACATTGGGTTGGATTCAATTTTTTCAGCCATTAAATGGGACGTGACCCATTTCCTCTTCTTGGGCTCTCTCTTGTGAAATCCAAGTTTTCTGTAAACTTTCATTAAAATACCAGATTTTTAAAAATAAAAAATAATACAGTGAATTTTAAAAAACTTCATTTATCAGTAATTTTTTTTTTTAAAGGACTCTTAGTGAAAAGATCTGAGCTCCTTGAAAATAAGCAAATTAGGGCCTTTTTGCCCTTTCTTATCTGAAATTGAGTGGTAATAAAGTGCATTTATTTATTTATTTATAAGATTCTGAACTCAGTGATTCTTTTATCTAGTCATCGGCTTCATCTGAAGAATTTAGGATTAGGATTTCTGGACGTCATCCTTGTATACCAGAGATTTTTTTTGATTCAGTAGGTCCAGGGTAGAGACATCTATCGATGTTGACAGGTTTCCCAGATGATTGCTCTAGCCAACCCCGTTCTGCCTCACTGTATGACCTTGAGCAAGTTACTTAACCTCTCTGTGTCTAAAATGAGCGGTATTGACCTTTTCACTGACAATTGTTCAAATCCGCCAGCTACTCCAAGGGAGAAAGATGGACAGTCCATTTCTGTGCAATTTCCAGCCTTTGAAACACCACGGGAGGGTCAGCTATGAGTCAATTCTGACTGAACAACAGTGACTTAGCTACAGTATATACTTAGTGCTCAGTTATTACTATTCTAACATTTGAGATCTGCTGAGTTTCTTAAAATATGAAAAATAAAGATGACCTGACAGAGTATGAAAATTATCAAACAATATCATTGATATCACAAGCAAGCAGTATTCTGCTGAAGATTATAAAACAACAACTGGAACAGAACATCAACAGAGAATTGCCTGAAGTGCAGGCTGGGTTTAGAAGAGGCCATGGCACTAGGGGTATTGTGGCTAACATTACATGGAACTTGGCTGAAAGTTGGAAGTACCAGAGGAATGTCGGTGTTTCATTGACTATGTATGCAAAGGCATTTGACTGTGTGGATCACAACAAACTGCGGCTGACTTTGGAAAGAATGGGAATCCCAGAATGTTTGATTGTGCTTATGTGAAACCTATACTTGGACCAAGAGGCAGTTGTCAGAACAGAGCAAGGAAACACTGCATGGTATTGGGAAGAGTGTATGCTAAGGGTATGTCCAAAAAGGGTATCTCCAAACTTTTTCAGTCTATATGCAGAACAGATTATCCAGGAGGCTGGGCTGTATGAAGAGTAATGTGACATCAGGATTGGAGGAAGACTCATCAACAATCTGAATTATTCAGATGACACACACCCTGCCTGCTGATATTGAGGAAGACCTGAAGTGTATGCTGCAGAAGGTCAAGGACTGCAGCCTTCAATATGGATTGAAGTTCAAAAACAAAAAAACCAGAGATTCTTACCACTAGGCCAATTGGTAGCATCATGACTGATGGTGAAGAGATTGAGATTGTTAACAGCTTTAGTCTGCTTGGCTCCACAAACAACACTCTTGCTACCAGCAGCCAAGATATTAAAAGACAAATTACATTGGGAAAGTCTGCTGTCAGAGACCTCTCCAAAGTCTTGATGAGCAACAGTATCAGTCTGGAGACTAAGGTGCTCCTGATCCAGACCATAGTCTTTGTAATTACTTGCTATGCATCAGAAAGCTGGAAAATGTCTTGGGATTATAGAAGGAGAATTGATGCCTTTGAGCTGTGGTGCTGGAGAAGAATATTAAATATACTATGGACTGCTAGGAGAGCAAACAGGTTTGTCCTAGAGAGGGTGAAACCAGCCTGTTCCTTGGAGTCAGGAATTCTGAAGTTTCATCTGACATGCTTTGGACATGTTGCATTGAGGGACCAGTCCTTAGAGAGGGATGTCATGCTTTGGAAGGTGGATAGACAGGGCAAGAGAGGAAGACCCTCGATGAGATGGATTGATTCAGTGACTGGGGTAATGGGAGAATGTGTGTCAGAGACAATAAGATTATCACAGGATAGAGCAGGATTTAGGGCTATTGTACATAGGACACTATGAGTCATAGGTGACTCGATGGCACATAACAGCAGGAAGAAGTTGAAAAATATATATTGTATACCTGTGTGAGTTCTATAAACCCGTGTTGTTTTGTATGAACTTTGAGATGTGTCATTAGACTATCCCTTCCTGCCTTACCTCATCCCTCCAGCTAAAAAATTATTCCATCTGGAATATTCCTATTTGTGATCTTTTTGCTCTATTCATTATTAGGAAAGTTAAAGGAATATCTCATAACTGTAAGGAGCTTTGCTAAACTTTTTACCTTCAACTTAAAACTTTATATTAATAATACCAGACCTCTTTTAGGAACTCTGTTACTTACTCTCAGCTAATAGTTGTTTTCCACTTTCCTCAATCCCTCCAGTAGTCCCTCGAGCTTCCAGCTCCCTCTTTCTTCAACGCTAGTTTTCCTTTTTTTTTTTTAACCCTGAATAGTTATGTGTTGTTCACTATCATAAGAACTTATTTATTTCCCTTTCAGAAATTATCATAAACATTAATTATTTTATGTGTTTATTTTCTATCTTACTAGGATATAATTCCACAAGGGAATTACTGTATTACTCAGTGTTACTTTTTCAACACTTAACACATTGTTTGGTACAGAGCAAGTATTTCAACAAATATTTGAAAGCTTACTCCCTTTGGACTTTTTTGCTGTCATCTTTACTAGTGGCCTAGTCTGTAAAGAGTTGCATTGCTAACCTGAAAGCCATGCAAGCCTCTCCAGCAATTTGAATCCATCAGCAGTTCCATGGTAGAGAGAGGGGCGATTTTTCTGCTCTGTAAATCTCTCCGTGTCCAGCTTTGGAGAGCCACTGTAAGGGATCAGCTGCAAGTCAGTTCTAACTCGATGGCAGTGAGTGAGTTTGAGTCTTTGCTGAGTTAGGGGGTTAGGGTTGTGTTTGAAAATGCTCTCATTGGTTCCCTTTTCTTTTCCATTATACAAATGCCCAAATTAACCAGAGACATCACCAATATTCCTCAACTTTCTTATGTTACTATTTGTTGTTGAGTTGGAACTGATGCACAACTAAGTCTCCGGTGGGCTTTCAGAGACTGTGAATCACACAGGTTCTGAAGCACGCAGGCCCTCCTTCTCCTGTGGAGCCCGTGGGGGCTTTAAACGGCCTGCCTTGAGGTTTAGCAGCACAACTCCTTACCCCAGGCCACCAGAGCTCCCATATAGCCAGTACTTACTGGAGTTTTTGACAATGTTCTGTGACATTCTGGAAAGAAAAATAATGGTTTATGCCTACGGATATTGTAAATATAAATGTGTCCATCTATTTCTGTCATTTTCCTACTAAATAGACAATGAAGAGGATCTTGAAAATCAGACTTCCTAATCTTCCTAATTGTTATTCATGCTGTCCTGTCCATACAGGGTAAGAAATTTGAGATTCTGCCTGATGGCTTGCCCTCAGCCAGGAAACTCATCTGCTACACGGGGTGCCCCATGCGCTCCCGACACCTCCTGCAGCTCCTGAGTAACAGCCACCGCCTCTACATGAATCTGCAGCCTGTCCTGCGCCACATCCGCAAACTGGAGGAGAATGAAGGTATCAGGGTATGGGCAGAGGAAGCAAGCAATGCTTTTGCCACATAATCTGAGACTTTAGGCTCCTGAAGAATGGAATTGGGGGGGAGGGGAAGTAGAACTTGCAGAGCACTCTTTTCTGTTTACACCTTAGCATTGCCCAGAAAAGCCAAGGATGGGCTTGAAGACCATCTGCTGGAACACCAAGTCAAAACATGTGATGTCATGCAAATCATTTAGTGACCCTCGAAGCACAATCTCTTTTAAGGTTCCTGACACTTGAATTAAAAGCCCCCACGTAAAGGTGCAAGCCAAGGCTATTGTTTTACCTACATCTCCGTGGACTGTAAATGACAGCCTACCTGGGCACTGTGGTCCACAGATGATTTTGCCTGTCTTCTAATATAATTTTTCCTTAAGATAGAGTGACCAGAAAGTTGGGTCCCAGAAGTATCTTCAGCCTCTGATTAACAGCTGGGAGGCCACCAAGTCTGCCTCAACAAAAATGACAGAGAAAGTTTTTATTTGAAGATAGAATTTGCCAGTCCCGAGGGAGCTCTCCTGAAACAAAGACAGTGTAACGCAGCCAGAATGCTGAGTCACTTGAGATCCCAGAAAGCTCAGCCTAGAGATGAGTGAGAAATGACAGGGAAGAGAAGACAAGGATACAGTCTCTATGGTCTCTATGGTCAAACTTTTGTTAACTTTATAATGTTAGCTTAATGTTCAGTCCGTTATCTTGAATGTAATCCTCCAGAGCTACTTGATTGAACATACTTCAAATTTCAGCCCCTCAACATGCTATGTAATTTCTTTTTAAATGTCTTCAATTTGGTTTTTTGCAAATGCATTTTGTAGTAATTCTGGTACTTAGACATGTGAGGTAATTGGCTTTGATTAGACTGGGATATTTACATGAACATCAGGGTGCAGATTTTTGCTTTAGGCCCATATCTGAAGCTGGTTTTGACCTCTCAGACCTCACCTTTAAAGCTTCAGAGATAAGAAAGATAATAGTCCTTTATGAAGCAGGCAGCAAAATCATGTGAAGGTGCATATATCCAGTTGATCTTCCTGCACAGCTGTTTCTCAATCTAAAGGACACTCTGTTTGGAGATCCCATCATCATTGAAGCAGCTAGAACACACATCATTTTCTACTGGCTGCCGACAGACTGCCTCTTTCCTGAGACAGTTGGTCCAACTGTCAGGTGTACCGGCTTCTGCTGCTGCCAGACTGCCAGTTCTTCTCCACCGTGACTCATCAGTACAACAGTTCTGTCTCTCGTAGCACACAATTCATATTAATATTGCTTTCTGATGGGAACAAAAGCATCAAGAAAACTTAAGAGAGAAAAAAACGGAAAACTTGAGAGAATAGGTGGCTATTTAGATTATTTGCCAGGTCTGCCTCATTCCTAAATGGTCAGTTTGGCATCTTGGCATGCTTATTTATTTCCCCAATAATCTCAGCAGCCAAGTCTTCTTTATATGACATTTAATAGAGGCTATTTAAAAAAAAATGAAGAAATTAGTGAGCTTTCCCTATAGATTCTAAGGTAAAATTTATAAAGATTTTGAAAATCTTACAAGAATATCTGGGGACTTGGAAAAGCAAGTCCCCAAAATGAAGGTGTTTCTAAAGGGTAGGTTATTAAAGAATAATAAAAATGTTAATTCAGACCTTTTATTTGGATGATTATAGATTTAGAGAGTCTTTTGATTTTTATTGTTACTTGTTTTATCAAAAGAAAATCTATTTAGTTTCTTCTCTTTAGAGGTTTATCAAAGACTGAAGAAAATCTCACCCAGTTTCTCTGGGCCAATCTTGGTCTGAGTCCGGATCTCATCCACACTTAAGGACTCCTTCATTTTGATGAGAAAAAGCTTTTCTTGGCATTAGTTTAGCAAAAAAGCAATGTTAAAAGGCAATTTTTTTTTTATTACATTTGGTCTAGAGTCACGTTTTCTGAAACTGTTTTAACATTTTGTAGCAGAAGATGATTACTGGAATTCTTCCTGTAAAGTTTATAAAAGGAGAAAAATATACCACATGTCATTAAAAACAAATCAAAATTTATTCAGTAACTGAAGCTTATTTTTGTAAGTCAAGCAGCCACATTTATGGTGTTTGATATAATGTAGAAAAATATTTTTGTTATCTCTAAGCTTTTACAGTAAGGAGAATAACAAAGGAACAGATGTTGATGTTGGTAGGGCAATGAGAAGTTTTCTTTTATATTCCTTAGATTTCAGTTTGTGACTATGTGTTATAAAACTTCATAAATGTTTGCCAACCAAAGTCTGGATTTATGCCATCAGTTTTACAGGACAAAGTATAACTTCTTCATAGGGTTTCTAAGCCTGTAAATTGCCACATCTTTTGCCCGCAGAGCAGCTGGGAGTTTTAAACAACCAGCCTTTTGGTTAGTAGCCAAGCACTTAAGTGCTGTGCCACCAGGGCTCCTTTAAATGTTTGCAAAGGACATAAATTATTTAGTACTGTGAAGGGACCAAGGCTAGCCAAGTGAAACATGGAGGCTATACTGATGGGTTGGCAGAAAATCTGTTTTACAGTAGACTCCTAGTAGGTAGAAAATAGCCTGGCAAGTACTTGCCTTCTAGTGAGGACAGGATAACTGTAATTAGTCCTGAACCTTCCAGGATGCTGAGAATGAAAGGGCTGTTTGAAAAGCAGTAGAAAAGTTTTTCTATTATTAGATCTTTAATTCCCAGTTGTCTTAGATTTCTAACATCCAATAAAATTTTGTTTGTTTTGTTTTGTTTTGAGTTTTTTTGCTTTAGTTTTTGTTATGTGGTTTAAGGTTTTGTTTTTTTTATGGTTTTTAGTTTTTGTTTTGTTTTGTTTTAACTTTTTGTTTCTTTCCACCTTTTCAAGGTCCAAATAGATATTCTTTTCAAATTATAGTGAATAGAAATTGTTAATCTCACAAACTCCTTCAGTTCTTTACCTTCATCTCTGCCCCTGTTACATTCAGTAATCAGGGATGATTCGAGCCCAGTCTAGTCCCTGAAAGATGGACTGTAGGCGTGTAGTATGGTATGAACTTCTGTTGAAGGGGAATATGTATTGAGCTCTGATGTCGAGTGCCAATCTGCCTTCTGTGGCTACGTGCATTCACCTTTCTCTTTAGACTTGCTATGGATGGGTTTAAAATGTAACAGAGGCTTCTCCAAGCATACTTGTCTGCTAGGAAGCTCATCATCTCTTCTGCTGGTGCTCTTTCTCTCTCTGGGGAGTTTGCCATGATTATACTTCATATTTAGATTCAGAAATTATAAGTAAAAATATTTTCACTTAACCAAGAAACAAGACAAATTTATTAGAAGGCCCCTGAGAACCCAATTAGTCTGCTATCATTTTCTGAAAGAATAGTAACTTAATATTCTCTAATTATACTCTCTATATTTAACCTTGTTGTAATAGGTTCTTTATTATCAGTGTTAAAAATAAAAGAAGGAAGTGAAACTATTGTTTTAAATTTCTTATCTAAAATGCAAAAAAAAAGGTTTTGTGTCAGTTGTACGGCTGCATCTCAGTTGTAACTTTATGCCTTACTGTACTGCCCAGTTTAACACTTAATAGCAGGGTATTTTTAAAAGTGACTCTTCCCAATAGTGAGTCTGATATTGACATGTTGAGTCGAAGAAAAGTTTTTCTGGTCAATAGCCATGGGGATATAAATACTCAGACCAAGAATGATTATTGTGTTTTCTAAATAGACAAAACCTCATTAATTCAGTCTTTAGAGGAAAAATATCCTTCATTAGTGAAAGTGAAAATAGTAGAATTCTTCTAGGAATTCTCAACAATAGTTTTATTGTAAATTAGAATTAAACCAGATAATAAAAAGCCACTTTAAATGAATAACTAAAATTAATGGGAAATATCATTATTTATTAAATTGTCTTTAACAGACATGATCTCTGAAGAAGGATCAGTTTTTGTTTATTTTTTTAAAGTTTCTGCTTTAGTTGGCAAAATACAAAATTGCTATCATGAAAATGTGTGATTACTTTAAAAATGTCCAAATATTTATTCTCAGCTAAACCCATTGCCAGTGAGTCAGGTTTCCAAAGCCGCAGTCTTCATGGAAAGCCACAAGTTTCTCCTTCAGAGCAGCTGGTGGGTTCAGCTGGCCTCCTGTCAGTTGGGAACCCAGTGCTTAATCACTGTGCCACCAGGACTCCTTTAATCTCAGTTACTGATTTTATTTCACTTTGGACTTCCAAACAATTTGTGGGCAGGAAGTGCTTTGCTGACTACAGTTTGAGTAAAATTGTTCTGTTCTGGTGATATAGTCTGTGGAGTTACATGGCTAACCCAAAGGCTGTATCTCACTGGCATTTGCAATCTGCCACCATCCTGAGAGAGAAATATCGGCAGTCTCCTTCTGTGGGGTTTACAACTTCAGGACCCCGTCTGTGCAGAGTCAGTTATGAGCCAGTTCTGACTCAAAAGGCAATGAGTGTTTGAAGTTTCAGAAGTCTTCAAGCAGTTTAGATATTTCTCTCAAAGCTAGTGTCATGGTTTTTAGTCACTTGGCATTATTCTCTTGTCCAAATTATCATTACTTTCCAAACAATGGATTCTGACTATAAAATTACAGTTGTTTGTGGCCCAGAGACTCACTTAAGGTCACCAGAGTTGCTTTTCTTTTGGTTGACTGTACTGACAAGCTGTGTTCTTCAACATGCAGAGAAGAAGCAGTATCGGGAATCTTACATTAGTGACAACCTGGACCTTGACATGGACCAGCTAGAAAAGCGGTCACGGGCCAGTGGGAGCAGTGTTGGCAGCATGAAGCACAAGCGCCTGTCTCGTCATTCCACCACCAGCCACAGCAGTTCCCACACCTCTGGCATTGAGGCAGACACTAAACCCAGGGACACAGGGCCAGAGGACAGCTACTCAGGCAGCGCCATCCACCGCAAGCTGAAAACCTGCAGTTCTATGACAAGCCACGGCAGCTCCCACACCTCCGGAGTGGAGAGTGGCGGCAAGGACCGGCTGGAGGAGGACTCGCAGGATGATGGTAACTCAGCCCGGATTGCCTCCTGCTTACAGCACTGTCCTCTTGCTGGCTGTTCTCTATTTTTCCCACCCATTTTATTTCAAGTGTTATTTCTGTAGAATTGATGCCTGGTAGAGGAGAATTGAAGCAGTAGAAGGGGAGTCTTACCATGCCCCCTAGTGACTTGATTATTTTGTTGTGCACAAAGCATCCCTCTAATTATTCTTTGTGGGTGCAGACCTAGGATTGTTTGGGATCTTAAGTCCTAGTAGTTTATAAGGCGTTGAATTGAGGTTAGGTTTTTATGTCTGTATTTCTGATTCCCAAGTTAAATAAGACAGTGATTAAGAGAGCAGAGCACAGTACAGTGATAGTGCAGAAAACATACATGCTTCTGGCGGGAGGATGGGGAAATTATGAAGATTTGAGACCAAGCTATTTGTTTAATAACTAAGCTTGTTTCCATTGTCTACCATGTGACTGAGAGAGAGAGAGACGGATGGATAGATAGATACATAGATAATAGATAGATAGATAGATAGATAGATAGATAGATAGATAGATAGATAGATAGATAGATATAAGAATATCCAGGTAGACACAGTGATGGCAGTAATGGAATCACATGTGTCAGAGATTGTGAAGATGGCACTGGATAGGACAAGCTTCACATCTTTTGTTCATAGAGTCACTGTGAGTCATACTTGACTTGAAGGCACCTAACAACAACATGATAGGTAGGTAGGTAGATCAGTAGATAGCACCTGGCTGATAGGAACTTACTCTATTGAAGAGATGAGGTCTGTAGGCTAAATCCACTAAAATTAGTAGTTGTAGGTCTGTTTTATATCATTACTGATTCTCAACCAAATACTGTTTCATTTAGATTTGGAGAGAACATAGTGACTCCATTGACAGAAATTGAAGAACATATATTCAATTACAGTGGAATTCATTTAGATCGCAAATAAGTTATGGATTGAATTAAGAGTCTATAACAGGGAAATTGATAGCTTAGTGAACAATCTCATTCTGCCTATACCAACAGTTTATGTTTTTCATTAGGCAAATGTCCCATCATCCCCCATCTTTCCTTAGTCATAGCAGCATGGTCGGATAACTGTTCTTTCTTGAAGAATAAGAGATAGAGCTTTAGAAGACAGATGGGAAGACAGAAATCATATACTCTGAGAAAAGCTATATAATTATTCTTACTTGAATATAAATTTGCTAATAAGCTTCTTATGTAGGAAATTCTAAGAACAATTCTCAATTAGATGATACTTCCCCACAAGTATGGATTCTGACCAACCTTTCCTTCATGTTCTTGAGTATATTTTCCATCTTCTGTGTTAGAAATAGAGATGTTGGTTGATGACCCCAGAGACCTGGAACAGATGACTGAAGATTCCTTGGAAGTCAGCCCAGACATGTGCATTTATATCACCGAGGACATGCTCATGTCACGGAAGCTGAATGGACACTCTGGTGAGCTCTGGGAAATTCTTAGCACTGTATTATTCTGGAGGTGCAGATGTGCCTAAACTGGAAAGGGTAGACTGGAAGTGATGGATCTAGAGCAGAGAGAAACTTGAAGATAAGCCTTTGCTTATATTCAGAGTAGTAAACCATAGAATCTGTGAAAGACACTGAAAAGGAAGGGGAGAAGCGCACAGAATTAAAAATTAACATCTTCTGCCCCATGCTTTGGACTAAAGATAGTTGTGTAATGGTGAGTTTTTCGGTTTTTGTTATTTGAAATCCACTCATCAGAGAATGATGAGACATCCAGAGGACTCTCTAGGGCCTTCCAGGCCCAATCTTCTCTTTCATATGAGGTCTCTGCACTTTTTTAGTCTACACTCCTCTTTATTGTACATAGAAAGGGCAAATACTGCATGACTGGAAGCAGAAGTCGGGGTTCCTGGTATATCCTCCTTACACCCATCATTATACTCTAAGTAAGTACGGGTGTTTCAAATCTACCATCTGCTCTATGAGAGAAAGATGGGCAGTCTCCTGTGATTTACTGCGTCTAAAAACCCACTAGAGGGTCATCTATGAGTCAGTTTCTATTTGATGTAAGCAACAACAAACAAGTGAAAGTCATTTTTGAATATACATTCTCAATGATATGGACATTGTAGTTGCTTGGATGTTTCTCTGTAAGTATATATGTGATTTGAAAGAAAGTGGTTTAAAATATATACACATATACACACACTAAAGTGCCTATGGGAAGGGCTTCATGAGGGAAGCCAACTTTTTTTCCCCAGCTATTTATTTACAGTTTGTGTTCAGTGCAAATCAATTCCATGACATGAGAAGTTACTATGAATCAAAGCATAAATATAACAAACAAAATATACAATCCAAACAGATGTACAGCATTCAGATATGAAGTAGAAGGGAGTGTTCATTCACACACACAGACATTTGAGATTTGTTGAATCTGGTTGTTTCCATATGGAGGCTTCTAACCATGGGGGGAAATGATTTTGGTTTTAAAAGCTTTCATATTAGATAACTGGAATATCTAAGCATCAGTGCATGACCATCCAAACAAAAGACTTCATGGAATGTCTAATTTTAAAAAGCTTTTGTAGAATAGTTTTACCTCCATGAAAATCAGGAATGTCTTCATTCCGTCCTTTAGTTGACCGAATTATTGAACATTTAAAATTTGCAAGACACAGGCTAGACTCTGAGTCATTATCAGGCACTTCTAGGGTTAAGGGAGAAGACAAAAAGTTATGAAAATTACATTAGTCAAAGTTCTTTTTTCTAAGAGAATCATTTTCTTCAGACGCCATTGGTCTTATGTATCTGGGGTTTGTGTATGCATTTGCTCCATCTATTTGGAATAAATCCATTTTCATAAGTTTACCTTCAGAAAACATCTTCTTGGGGCACATCACTGAGATGCCATGTTCGTATAGGGCAGTGCCATAGATTGCTGCTTCAGAAAAGTTAACCATTTTCTCCTGAGTACTCAGGTGATTAAAGGCTGTTTTGATCTGGAAGGTACATAACTGAATGTTCACTAGAGCCTCCCATTTTGGTCTCTTACCAATGGCATTTTTTCTCTAGGAGAATATGCTAGAGAACCCCTCAGTCAAGAAGAGCTCCCAGGAACGGAGTGTGTTTCAAGTGTAGGCCCTGTACTCAGCATTCCTTGTGCACTCACTCTTTGTCATTTACTTGCCCCACTGTCACTTAGTTGATTCTGACTGATAGTGACCTTGTAGGATAAAATAGGCCCACCTGATAAGGTTTCTGAAGCTGTAAATCTTTATGGAACTAGACTGTCTAGTGCTTACATATCTCTCATGTCTTACAGATAGTACTGCAAGCCACAAACCTTTCAGTTAGTAGATGAATACTTAACCCACCACAACACCAAGATTCCTTTCTATTAGGTAGATACTGTTATTAATTGCAGTAATAGAGGAGGGGACTAAAACCAGAGAGGTTGAATGGTTGGCCAGTACAGATAGCTAATTAATTACTTGTTTAGGCCTGGTTCCAAATTAGTCTGATTCCAGAGACTAGCACCTCTACAATTAACCAGCATATGCCCAAGTGAAAATGAAACCTAGCTGATTGACTTACTGCTACTCAGGAGGAGGTCAGTGTAAAATGTGTGTTAAATGAGAAGAGATCTTAAATGAGAAAGAAAGCTTTATGAACTAAAAAAGAGTTCTATACACACACATAAAATCTTTGGTTTTTATTACTGATGTTACCATAAATAAATTAATTAGAAGATTTTTTAAAATTCAAGCTCCAAACGCCTTCCTAAACTCTAACCTCACATTTGTTCCATTCTCTACTTGAGAAGATGAGAGAGAGAGAAGACAGGATGAACACGTTTTCTCCTCATTATCTACTACCAAAGAATCATATTGAAAGTTTTCAGTAATGAATAATAACTTCAAGTTTGATTTTTTCTTTTCTTTTTTTTCCTTCTGTTTTACATTAGGATTGATTGTAAAAGAAATTGATTCTTCCACCTCCAGCTCTTCAGAAACAGTGGTGAAACTCCGTGGCCAGAGCACCGATTCTCTTCCACAGGTATTTGAAAAAGAGTTGAAAATTTTCATCAGCAGTTGATGCGTGTGAGTGTGCATGTGTATGTGCCAGACGTTAAAAGTAAGATACTTTGAGGAAATAATTCTTGCCAGATCTTTCTGAATTTATGTATCATTAGCTGGTCCAATTTGTTTGAGTTGGCTTTTATTTGTATAAGTTATGTGTTTTGTTCTACACTTTATGAAGATGGAAGGCCTCGAGTCTTTAGGCTTCAAATATCGTGTGTTTTCTTTGTTGACTGACTTCAACCCCTTGGGAAAACAATTTCCTTGTTGGAGATAGTGTGACAGAAATGTTTCTGTTGTTCTTGTTAAGTGCTGTCAGGTTGACCTTGACTCCCCAATCCTGTGTCTTCTCATAGTCTGTGCTGTATTGCTTCTTTTTTTTTCTTTACATATATTTTTGTTGTTGTTGTTTTATACTGGTTTGCATACCAAATTAATATACATTATGTTTCACACATTCTTTCATTCGTGTTATGTTTCATATGCTCATTCCCATACATTGCAATTTATTAAACCAGTAGCCATTGATCTATGCCATTATCACTCCATCTTTTCAGGTTCGCACTGCGTTTTTCCTTATTCCTTTATCTCCTCCTTACACCCATCAAACTCTGCAACCTTGTAATTACCCTCTCAACTTTTCTACCTCTTTCCCCTTCCCCTTTGGACTTTTATACACATCTTACTAATTATCCTTCTATTTTTACAATAGTGATCTTAATGCAGGATTTGTCCTTAAGAGATTGATTTAGTTTATGCAGGATACTGGTTTCTAGCCTCTCCCATGTTATATAGTATTTTTTTTTTATTTTAACTCAGTTGCCCTGAGTGCTACATAGTATTCCATTGTATGAATGTACCATCATTTCTCAGTCCATTTGTTTGCTGATGGTAATATGGGCTGTTTCCATATTTTTGCTTTGTGAATAATGCTGCTTTGAGCTTAAGGATACAGATCTTGGTTTATATCTTAGTTCTGTTTTCTTAAGGTTATTCTAGCAGTGGATTAGCTGAGTCAGATGGGATTTCTGTGTTCAGCTTATTGAGGAAATGCTAAACTGCCTTCCAGAGAGGTTGGGACACTTTACAATTCCACTGACAGTGTATGAGAGTTCTAATATCTCCACATCTTCTCCAACATTTATTGCTTGCTGTCCTTTTAAACTTGGCCACTGCTACTGGGATAAGATGGTATCTCATTGTGATTTAGATTTGCATCTCTTTCATTGCCAAGTATTTTGAGCATTTCTTCATGTGTCTATAGACCATCCAAATGTCTTCCTCTGTGAAAAGTCTTTTCATATCTTTTTCCCCATTTCTAACTGGGTTATCAGTTGTTTTGTTTTTTGGGTTTGGTTTAGATTTTCTGTTTTTGTTGTTTGTTTGTTTGTTCTGGTTTTGGGGGGTGTTTTTTTTTGTTGTTTTTTTTTTGAAACCTTGTGCTGTTCTGTAAACTTCCATTATTAGACTCTTGTCTGAGATGGTATTGCCAAATGTCTTCTTCCCAGTCAGCAGGCTTTCTTTTCACCCTATTGGGAAAAATTTTTGATGCACACAGGGTCTTAATCTTTAAGAGGTCCTGTTTATAGAAGTTATCCTCTCCTAATTGTAGATTTGTGGCCAGATGTGCCAGCCTTTTTATAACATAGTCTAGTGGCAAGAAGTTGTGCTACAGTCCTGAAGGCATGTGTTTCGAGGCCACCTGCTGCTCCACAGGAGAAGTTTGGGCCGTCTCCTCCTGTACAATTAACTGCCTCTGAAAACCCACTGGAGGGTTAGTTATGAGTCGGTTCTGACTCTAAGGTACATAACAACAGGTCTTCTAACTTTGGTCCCATTTTGTCTCTTATGATGTTTATGGTTTTGGTCTTTAAACCTAGATCTCTGATGCATCTTGACTTGATTTTGTGGATCCTGCTTTAGCTTTCTTCAGATTGAAGTCTGGTTTTTCCAGCACCTTTTGTTGAAGAGGTTGTCATTTCCTCATTTGATAGGTTTTGTTTCCATGTGGAATACCAGTTGACCATAGGTAGGTGCATTAATTGCTGGGGTTTTTTTTACTCAGTTTAGTTGGTCTATGTTTCTGTCATTTTTCCAGTACCAACCATAACCATAATAGCAAAACCAGGCAAAGACATTCCCAAAGAAGAAAATGACAGATCTCTCTCATGAATAAAGATGCAAAAATCCTTAAAGTCTTGGCCAATAAATTCAATAGTACATCAGAAAAATAATTCATCATGCCTGAGTGGGACTCATAAACGGTATGCAAGGATGGTTCAACATAAGAAAAACATTGTAATTCATCACATTAACAAAACCATGAACAAGAACCACTGTATGTTATTACAGCCTTACAGATGTGCAGTAGGTTTTGAAATCAGGGAGTGCTATGCCTCCTATTTCATTTTTGTTTTTCAGAAGTGTGCTGCTTGCTCAAGGTCTCTTTTCCAAATAAACTTGTCAGTTGCCTTTTCTGTTTCTTTGGAAAATTATTTGTGTGAGGATTGCTTTTAACATGTAGACTGCTTTTGGTAGGATTGTCAATTTTTACTTAATTATAAGTATTGAGTCTACTTATCCATGATATTGGAACATTTTCCTTTTATTTGGGTCTCTTATTGTCTTTCAGAGTAGTATTTTGTTGTTTTCTTTATAAAGGCTTTTTCTTTCTCCAGGTAGGTTTTCTCCCAATTATCTCACTTTGTGGTTGGCTATTGTAAATGGTATTGCTTTTTTAGTTTTCTTCTCTGTGGTTTTTTTGTTTTGTTTGTTTGTTTATTTACTGTAGAGGAATCCCACTGGGTTTTGTGTATTGATCTTGTATCCTGCCACTCTCCTAAATTGGTCTATTAGGTCTAACAGATTTTTTTGTTGAGTCCTTGGGGTTTTCTGTCTACACTATCATAGTGCCTGCATATAAATAATGAGTTTTACAACCGTGAGGCTGGCATTGGGGTGGGGGTAAGACTGAGAAAAACTGGATGAAATATGTTTATGGCATTGAAGTCTATGGGGGAGAGAATAGTCTAAA